CAAGTTCAGATTCCTAAAGGTGAAATGTGGAGTGTTCATAAGTTTGGTGGGACTTGTGTTGGGAACTCTCAGAGGATTAGGAATGTTGCAGAGGTTATAATCAATGATAACTGCGAAAGGAAACTTGTGGTTGTCTCGGCAATGTCCAAGGTGACAGATATGATGTATGACTTAATCCGCAAGGCACAATCTCGAGATGATTCTTATTTATCCGCCTTGGAAGCTGTCCTCGAAAAGCACCGGTTGACGGCTCGTGACCTTCTCGACGGGGATGATCTTGCTAGTTTCTTGTCACATTTGCATAATGATATTAGTAATCTTAAGGCAATGCTTCGTGCCATATACATAGGTACCGTGATTTTGATATATTTTTTTTATGTTTCCTGTTTACTTTTTAAGTCATAATTTCAGAGGAAGAAACTGTCATCTTTGATTTGCAGCTGGCCATGCATCAGAGTCGTTTTCAGATTTTGTTGCCGGACATGGGGAACTTTGGTCTGCTCAGATGCTATCTTATGTTGTCAGAAAGGTTTGAGTGATGCCTATGACAATTGCTTGTGAAATTTTTATTGAGGTTGTATACTTTATCACCTCTCTTTACTTTGACTGTAGACTGGGCTTGAGTGCAAGTGGATGGATACGAGAGATGTGCTCATTGTTAATCCCACCAGCTCTAATCAGGTTGATCCTGATTTTGGTGAATCCGAGAAGAGACTCGATAAGTGGTTCTCTTTACATCCGTCGAAAATAATTATTGCCACTGGATTCATTGCTAGCACTCCACAAAATATTCCAACAACTTTGAAAAGAGATGGGAGTGATTTCTCTGCAGCTATTATGGGTGCTCTACTAAGGGCTCGTCAAGTAACAATTTGGACAGATGTTGATGGTGTATACAGTGCAGATCCTCGTAAAGGTCTGTCTTGTTCTTCTTCCTCCGATCAAAACTTTATTCTAAGATGTAACCATAACAAGAAGTTTTGCTTGCAGTTAATGAGGCAGTAATACTCCAGACACTTTCTTATCAAGAAGCCTGGGAAATGGTAAACCTAGCGTTCTTGTTATCTTAGATTTTAAGAGCTTCATTATGCCAAGTACAAACTTCTGATCAAAACTTTTAACTACATGCAGTCTTATTTTGGGGCAAATGTTTTACATCCTCGCACCATCATTCCTGTGATGAGATATAATATTCCGATTGTGATCAGAAATATTTTCAATCTCTCTGCACCGGGAACAATAATCTGTCAACCTCCTGAAGATGATTATGACCTTAAACTGACAACTCCTGTCAAAGGGTTTGCAACTATTGACAATTTGGCTCTCATAAATGTTGAAGGGTAAGCTGTCTTTGCCATTGTTGTTTGAGTGCTACTTCTGTTCTATTAATTAACAAGCTGCATTCATACCTCTCCTGTTGACTGCTCTCTTCAAATTCTTTCTGGCAGTACTGGAATGGCTGGGGTACCTGGTACCGCTAGTGACATTTTTGGCTGTGTAAAAGATGTTGGAGCTAATGTTATTATGATATCACAGGTGCCTTAATATCAAACTTTACCTTAGCATTATCACAATTTTCTTCATTTCAGAGGCAGAGGCTTATGCCATTGATATATTCATTGTACAGGCTAGCAGTGAGCATTCTGTGTGCTTTGCTGTGCCTGAGAAAGAAGTAAAAGCTGTTTCTGAGGCACTGCGGTCGAGATTTAGTGAAGCTTTACAAGCTGGACGTCTTTCTCAGGTCTCTCTCTCCCTGATTTCTGTTTTACCTAGCACCTCTCTTCTCTGCGTAAATCTGATCAACAATACATTTGTTAATTTTTTCTTGGCCACTTTCCCTATTTTCATCAATAGTATATTTATTTTCTCAGATTGAAGTGATACCAAACTGTAGCATCTTAGCGGCAGTGGGTCAGAAAATGGCTAGTACACCTGGAGTTAGTTGTACACTTTTCAGTGCTTTGGCCAAGGTAGTTATTACTTAATACTGTAACCATTACTCATCTCATATAGTATCTTTTGCTTGATTGCTCCCTTCTAATTGCTTGTTTTTGTATCTCTCTTACAGGCTAATATTAATGTCCGAGCTATATCTCAAGGTTGTTCTGAGTACAATGTTACTGTCGTTATTAAACGCGAAGATAGCGTTAAGGCATTAAGAGCTGTGCACTCGAGGTTTTTCTTGTCAAGAACAACATTAGCAATGGGAATCATAGGACCGGGATTGATAGGCTCTACATTACTTGATCAGCTAAGGGACCAGGTGAACTTCATAAAGTTGTTCAGTATTTCAAAATGCTACATTACCTTCTTTCTGGGTTTATATGCATTTAAGAAGCTGATGAAGCAGTAAATGATGTTTTCCAGGCTGGTGTTCTCAAACAAGAATTCAACATTGATCTGCGTGTTTTGGGAATCACTGGTTCAAAGACTATGCTATTAAGTGACATGTAAGAATGACTTATTCTGTACAGTTCTTTTATTCTGGGACGTTATAGGATTTTATCTTGAAAGACAGTCCATTCTTGATGGGATGCCTGCATATTATAATTTTCTCTAGCTAGACAAATATCCCAAATTCTCGATCCAAATACATATGCATTGTAGAAGTTTTACCCTGTTTAGCATATCTGGCTTTGGCTCTCCCTTGATTGTTGTTTTTGTGTTTTATCTATAGGTTAATACCATCCATGAGATGCCTTCTTATCTTTCTTCTCAACCATTGATTTATTGATGACATGTTCTGTTAAATCTTAAGCTCAATTCCTAACTGTGGATGATCATTCTGTTTTAATACCACATGACTTGTACCTATGTTGTTTATTGCAGTGGTATTGATTTGTCGAGATGGAGAGAACTTCTAAACGAGAAGGGAACAGAAGCCAATTTGGATAAATTCACTCAACAAGTTCATGGAAATCATTTTATACCCAACTCTGTATTGGTTGACTGTACAGCAGACTCTGTTATTGCGAGCAATTACTATGATTGGTTACGGAAGGGAATCCACGTCATTACCCCAAACAAAAAGGCTAACTCAGGCCCCCTTGATCAGGTGTTATATTCTTCTCATCTCATCAAGTATACTTTTTTTGAATCTGTTAGAGAAACTCAATAGGGAGTGTTCCTGTCCTGAGTTAGTCTGTTATTTCACTGATGTTTCTTTTTTTTTTTGTGACTGCTCAGTACTTGAAACTGAGAGATCTTCAAAGGAAATCCTATACTCATTACTTCTATGAAGCCACCGTTGGAGCTGGTCTTCCAATTATCAGCACTTTACGTGGTCTCCTTGAGACAGGAGACAAGATACTACGTATAGAGGGCATTTGTAGGTATGTTAATTAACAGTGTCACCACAGTTTGACTCTGTGTTCCTTTCTGGTTTTATTTCTGATGATTTCTCTTTTGGATTCTGTTTTTTTTTGTTCTTTCCTCCAGTGGAACATTGAGTTATCTATTCAACAACTTTGTTGGAGACCGAAGTTTCAGTGAGGTTGTAGCTGAAGCAAAGAACGCAGGTTTCACTGAGCCTGATCCAAGAGATGATTTATCTGGAACTGATGTTGCAAGGAAGGTACGTTATTGCTTCTTACGTATCAAACTGACACAGCAAAGTCCTGTAACTGATGGCATTCTCTCTCATGAAACCAAAACTCTTTCGTTTATGCAGGTGATAATCCTCGCTAGAGAATCTGGACTGAAATTGGACCTCGCGGATCTTCCTATTAGAAGTCTCGTCCCTGAACCGCTAAAAGTAAGTAAATTACATTTACCTTTCATTAACATAAAAATCAGCAGCTTCTGCATCTAATGTTCAACCTAATCTACTTTCAGGGATGCGCTTCTGCTGAAGAATTCATGGAGAAACTTCCCCTGTACGATGGAGACCTAGCAAAAGAAAGGCTAGATGCTGAGAATTCAGGGGAGGTAAGATCATATACCATAAACTTTTTCAATTTGATGATCTTAAATCCGGCTAAAGATCATTCCCGTTTGATCAATTTGATCATATTAATTATGATGCAGGTCCTAAGATATGTTGGTGTGGTGGATGCAATAAACCAAAAGGGAACAGTTGAACTTCGAAGATACAAGAAAGAACATCCATTTGCGCAGCTGGCAGGTTCAGACAACATAATAGCATTCACAACGACAAGGTACAAGGACCATCCACTTATTGTCCGAGGGCCTGGAGCTGGTGCTCAAGTCACGGCCGGTGGTATATTCAGCGACATACTAAGGCTGGCATCTTATCTTGGTGCACCGTCCTAACCGGTGTAAAAACCTCCCACATTATTTATCAGTTTTGCTATATCTCTCTGCACGCTTAAAGTATCAGCCACGAATTAACAACTTTTTGCTGGTCTTTGTAATTTTTGTGGTAACATGTACAATAGCAACTAGTTTTGTTGGTTTTGAAAACAAATTTATACATCAAAAACGATGTGCAATTTAATAAAATCGAGCAGTTATTTAGAATATATTTATTTTATTTCGGTGGTAGATGTCAATTGAATAATGTATATCTAATTTTCTTATCATTGGAATTGCGGTGGAGCAAGTTGGCTAGGCTTTGGAAAAAGCTAGTAGACGGTGAGTCCCAACGGCTGGACATGCAGATTACTATGCTCCCTAGAGTCGTGCCTTGTATGAGTGAGTTATCTGGATAAGATGATGTATAAAACAAAAGTAATTATACTAACTTTGGTGATATAAGATAAAATTAACCCTCAAAAGATTTCTTAAATGCACTACGATTTTTGTGAAAACCATGGTACTAAAGTTACTTAAAAAAAAAAAAAGATTTATGTGTGTGCCTTATATTTTCTTAAGGTTGTTGTAACTTGTAACAAATAATGAATATGGAGATGCATATTATATTACAACGTAGAACTATCAGATTTTTTTTCCTAATCGTTTATGGAAAAAGCAAGTAATATTGTCATAACTTCGACTTCATTTATACATAAAAGCAAAAGTTTATTTAATGATTATGTTTACAATGATAGAAGCCAGCGTGAGAACAAAAAGCTAGATAAACAGAAGTGTTTAATTTTTTTTATTACAATAACATAATCCAAACATGGTCTATTCTTTCATTTATTTGTTTCTACTTCCTTTTTCGCTGTTCTCCGATGGTTGTCTCTTTAGTTTTTAGCATCGATGATCGTTCCTCCCATGCTTCCGATGCTGCAAAATTCCAAAACTCCATATATAAGACTTGATACCGTATATCCGATTAGAATATAAGACACTAATAAAATCGTTGTTGCAATTCATAGAATAACATCTATAGCAAATCTGCGTTGTGAAAATGTAAACCAAGGAATAAAAAAGAATATTTTCAAAGCACAAAAGACGAACCTGCACGAGACAGACCAGAGTTATCGTCAGCTCCAAGATGCCATGAGAAGTAACCAAGCAAACCTTTCTGCTTAGCGTATCTAACTTTTGTCACAATACTCTCATAATCGTCATAACCAATCCAAGTTGTTCCAGAGTAACAATAATCTCCAACCACGGACGAGTTATAAACCGTTGTTGCTCCGTTATCAACTATAAACTTCCTAATCTGATCATAGTTTATAGTACCATCAGCTGATGTCGCTACTTGGGTGGTGGCCGCATCATGACCTCCTTCGAGACTCCAGTTCCAACCAACGTATGATAATCCCAATACTGCTTGTTTCTCCGGAAGTCCGGCCTTGATCCACTCTTTCAAACCAGAATCGCCGCATGGACCTATATATCAACCAAATTCCAATTAATAACCTTTGTCGAACCAAAGACTACTTTCATTCCTTTGTTTAATTGGTCACTTATGTGTATTCACTTAGACCTTTTGGGTTTGAAGGATCAAACAGAGCGGCAGGTGGACTGATGTTAGTGGTTGAACCGTAGAAATCATAAGCAATAAGATTGACCCAATCTAAGTATTCTTTAATCTCTTGAATCGGGTAGGAAACTGAATTGTAATCCGAAGAGTAGTAAACCGCAGCCGTCAACAGCAACGGCATTCTTTCGGTGCGTTCAGCATCGTCCTCAACCGCGTCTCGCCATTCTTCAAGTAGTTTACCAAAGTTTCTCATCTCCACATCATTGTTTGGGTACTCCCAGGCCAGATCAAGGCCGTGAAATCTGTAATATCTAGCCAAAGAGATCGAAGACCAAATGAATGATTTACGAGAGGTGGGGTTACTTGCCATGGACGCAAACGCAGATGTGTCTGCGTTTCTTCCGCCGATCGACAAGAGTGTCTGCACGTTAGGGTTTTTCTGCTTGACGATGTTAGTGAAGTTGGAGAACTCTTGTTCTTGCGCGTCGGAGACAATGACGCTGTTGGTCTGAGGGTCAAGATCGGCAAAGGCGCAGAAAAGGTGAGTGAAGAGAGTTGAATCGATTAGCATGGCTGAGGACTGTGGGACTACGCTGCTGCCGGTGGCTTGGGATTCACCATCTTGGAACCAGTACGATGCTTTAACTACTTCCGTAAACATTTTTGTATGAAAATGTTACTTTGTTTGTTGTGCTTTTGCAAGTTTGATACAAGCTAAGAGGGTGCTTTCATTCTCTCTATCTATAGGGAATTTTGGAAGAGATATTTTAATTATTAAAAGTAAAGACTGGAGGATTTTCAAAGCCAAAGTCTTTGTTAAATGTTGTGACTGTGGCACCACACCATTAAAAACCTTATTCATATCATAGTTGATGTATTTTTGATCATTTCACGTACCATACCATAAGTTTTAAAATGAATATATGGTAGTCAAGTGGTTGAACCGTTGTAGCTTATAAAATTTTTGGTTTGACTACTCCCGCTTTATGAACTTAATCAACGTCGGCAAGAATATTACATTACCTTTTTCCACATGTCCTTGGGTTTGATTGGTAGTTTTCTTCTTTTTGGTCACATATTATATTAGATTTTGGTTCAGGGAGCCTCCACTGATATGTGTTTTGTTCTTATATTAAAAACAAAGACTCAATTAGTCCATATAACAAGTCTGTTTTTTCTAATAATGTCATCATACCAACCTACATTAAAATGTATGACACCAATTATTGAAAAAAAAAAAAAAAGAGACTTGATTCTTCTCTTTGATAAAAGATTATATATTGAAAGAAGAGTGTGTTGGCAAACTAGTACGTTTTTGAAACATAATTATAAAGATAGTACATTTACTATTCATAATTAGCAAAATAGTACAATTTTACTATTTCAGATATCTGTACAGACAGACAACTGTACAGTATCATATTATTGTACATCAAATATTTGTACAAAGAGAAACAACTACATATAAACATATTTACACATAAAGAAATATACATATATAGACAAGAAAATATATGTACACATACAATTATACGTATATATAGACCGCTGTACGGATGATTTTCCGTACATCGACACACAACTGTACATACGGATAGCTGGACGTATCAAAATTTGTTTGAAAAATATTTGAAATTATATTTTAAAAAATGCATATCAAATTATAGAGAAAAAAATATAGATTTTTATGTAACTGAAATTTTATAGAAAACAAATATATTTTGATGAATATTTTTAGTTATTAGATTTAAGGGGGTTTTTAATAGTGTCTAAATAGTGTCCAAATAGTAAAAATGTATTAGTTTGCTAATAATGAATAGTAAATGTACTACTTCTACAATTATGTTTCAAAAATGTACTAAAAACCCAATTAATCCTTGAAAGAATGAGATGAGAAGAAAATAAGATTACAAGGCCCAAGTCATACATTTGGCTTCTTAGCCCAAAGGAATCCTAATGAACAACATATTATTACAAACCAAAGACCAATGGGACTGACTTCAGTTTTAGGGTATCTCAACAAATATTCAGATATTAAAATGCATGCATGCATACATTTGCACGTTACGATACCCGTACTTTTGGTTATAAACAAATCACAGTAGACGTAATATCGAAGAGCTTTTAGTGGCCTTATGCGAATCTGGCTTGCTAGATATATTCTAGTCTTTATCATCTTAAGTTTTAGTTTCCATTGTTATTTTTTGGTATACTATCATTTTTTTTTTTTTTGGCAAGGCAATGTCTCGAGGCTGGTTCCTTCAGTGAAACCCGTTCTCATTCCTAAATGAAACTAATCAAATAAATAGAGTAAGCATGTTCTTTTACTTTTCTCTAATGCAGTTTTCACACAGAAACAAACTTTATTTGGAAAAAAAATATAAGTTTTGTTAGATGAATCTCTTATATATGGAAGCGTACATGAATGATATGAAGTACGTAAACCTGTCGGTGTTCTGTAATGCATTTTTCTTAGAAATCATCAAATCAAATCAAACATTTTGGTTTTTTTTTTTTTTTCATTTTGGTTTACAATAGTATAAAAATAAGCAAGCATTGTTTTTATTTTTATTACAGGAAACAAGATAAGCAGACGACATACGTGTATTATTTGTATCTTACACAATAACAGAAGCAAACATGTTTTATTCTTCACTCGTGTTTTATTTCTTCACTTTTCGTTATGGGAACTCTTCGGATGGTTGTCAATTAAAGAGCCCATGCTTTGGATGCTGTAAAATCCAAAATACATGTACATGTATCAGAGACTTATCAGTACTGTTTAATTTATTTTTATGAATGAAAGAAAAAGACAGAAAAAGGAGACGAACCTTCAGAAGACAGAACAGTGTGATCGTCAGCTCCAACGTTCCAGGCAAAGTAACCAAGCAGACAGTTCTTCTTAGCGTATCTCACCTTGGCGACAACGCTCTTAGTATCGTCGTACCCAATCCAAATCAACTCGGAGGAGCAGTAGTTTCCGACAACGTCGGAGTCATAAACCGTTGCTGCTTTCTCCTGAGCTATGAACTTCTTGATCTTATCATAGTTTATAGAGCCATCGTCAGCTACGTCATCATGTTTGGCTACTCCGTTGGCGGGCGCATCATAACCGGTATTCTTATCGTTTAGGAGAGTCCAGGCCCAGCCAACGTATGAGAATCCAAAGACTGCCTTTTTCTTGGGAAGTCCGTCTTCAATCCACTTTCTCAAACCTTGATCGCCGCTTAGAGTTGGACCTATCGATCCAATTCGATTCCAGTTATAAGCCAATGAGACTACTCCTTCAACTAGTTATAATATATGCATCGTAGGGAAATTATATAGAATTATGTTTATACCTTCGTTGCTAGCAAACGAGTGCAAACCGGCGGTTGGAACGGTAAAATTGGGGTACGACTCCGGATCGTAAAAATCATAGGCTATAATGTTAACCCAATCCAAGCTATCTTTCATCACTTTAACCGGGTAGGTACACGTCTTGTAAACCGAGGAGTAGTAAACGGCAGCCGTCAACAGCAAAGTTGGTTTGCTGGTGCGTCTGTGCTCGGCGTCAACTTCTGCTCGCAGTTCTTTAACTAGCTCCCCAAAGGCGGTCATCTCAGTCTCATTTTTCGGGTACTCCCAGGCTAAATCGAGACCATGGAACCCGTTTGATCTAGCGATGGCAATCCAAGAATCAATGAACTTTTTCCGAGTGGGGCGTTTGCTTGCCATGGACGCAAACGCATGACTGTTTGCCTTTCTTCCGCCGACCGACAAGAGGGTCTTCACCTGATCGTTTCTCTCCATGACGGTGTCAGTGAAGGTGGAAAATATGACTTGGTGCGCTAGGGGGATAAAAACTTTGTTGGTTTCAGCGTCGAGATCGGCGAAGGCGCAGAAAAGGTGAGTGAAGAGTTCTGCGGGAATGGTTTGAGCCGAGGTTGCGGAATCCTTGGTCTCTCCATCTGGGTACCAGTACGAAGCTTTTACCTCCGAGGTGGCGGCTGCGGTGTCGAAAGGGTCATCATGACGAGACATTTTTGGTCTTTAACAAAAGGCTTTCTTCTCTTGCTGTGTTTCTTTGTTTGGTTTGCTTTGTAGTGGTGGTACAAACTAAGTGTGTGCTTCCCTTCTCTATTTATAGTGACTTTGGGTAGACTTATTTTGAAATATTCAAAAGATACAAATTCAGACAAATTCAATTATTGAATTTTATTTGATTTCCAAAACCAAATTAAAAGTCTTTGTTAAATGTTGTGACCGTGACTCTCATTCGTATCATACTATAACTATTACCATTTCGTGTAAAGTTTTAAACCTAATTTATGGTTGTTGAAGTCTGTTAAAAACTAGGGTCAGTGTATCCGACTATTTCCAACTGTGATTTTAAGTTTTTAACTATATGAATGTCATGAATACATGCATGCTATTATATCACACCTTTACAATTTCAAATATATACATGTTCCAAAGATTGTATTATAGACTTTAAGTATTCTTAATTGTGTAAATTGTCAATTGTTCAGTGATTCATCTTTTTTTTTTGGTAATATATATGATCGTATTGTACTATAAAAGAAAATTATACTAGTACCATTTATCGTTGAATGTGTAATATACAAGAAAATGTGTTGCTTATTGTGAATAAAAGTTTATAATATGCTCTAATTTATATGTGGGTGGCGGCATGATAAAGATCTCGTACATAAAAATAGCAATAATTAATAAATGACTTGATTATAGTCTATATATCTTAATTATTATTTTCTCGTCATCAGCTATGAAAGAAGTTTATTTAATTATAATTTAAAATAATTAAGTTTGTTGTTAATAAAGAAAATAAGATTTAAAGACTCAGTTATAGTCTATATTTCTAAATTCTAACAAGTCTATTTATCAAACAATATTTTTGTTCACAAGCATTACTTTAATATTGTGACTAGATTGGACTTTAGATATTTCATGATTCATAAATATAAACTACTACTGGTCATTTTAGTAATACATATATAATGTTCGTATATTTTGGAAGATAACGTGTATATATTTATCGATTCAGAAAAAACTTTTAACAAAGCTTTAACAACATATGTAATGCTTAAAAAGCTCTGCTGGAAATGGTCTAACAAGTCTATTTGTCTAACAATGTACGTATAGAGTAATAGACGTTCACATGCATTACAATAATATTGCGATTAGACTTGATATTTAAATCAACACACGAATACAAAACTGGTCAAATTAAAAATAAAGGTGTACCGAAGAAAATATTAAGTCTTATAAGATTATAGTTTTTTCTTTTGGGTTAAAAGAATATATTCTTAATTTTTTATTAGTACTCTCTATACTACAACCAGTTTAATTAGTACCAAATATATTGCAATTTATCATAACATTTCGAAATTTTCATTAGATTTCCTATATATTTCTTAAATTATTTATAGATTGAAAGGATTTGTTATATATTTATATATATATATATAAGCAAAGAAAATTGGAATTATGAAAGTTCTGGTTTTGCTATGTTAACCTCTCTTATTCTTCATTTTTAACGAAGATGTTTTGATTGTGTAGCATTTGCTCACAACTTATAATCTTTGAAATTATATATCTATAAGAAAATTACTCCTCGCTATAAATTTTCTATTAATGTATTTGTAAATTTGCCTAAATAATAAATGGCTTCAAATTTTTGCAAACAAAATTAGTTTCTTACCATAATTTAACGTAAGGTTTTTGATCTCGTGAAACGTTTATCATCATACATCATGTAGCAATAAGCAAGATCATCGTCGCTACAATACAATGACCAGATTTGGCTAGTTTGAAAAGTCCTTCCATTACTTACAAAGTACAAGCATTGTGAGTGTATAGAATTTTTATTATATTCAACAGCTTGACGGTGTAGGGTCATTTATGAGATAGAGAGATCTCATTGATAGTTTCTGGTAATGCATTGGCTTCACGTTTATAATTAAGCACCTCTTGGGATTAAATTAAATTTGCCCTAAGTAATCTTGAATTATGAAAACCATAACACATAACAACTCTTGGCATGACCTACGATATAGCCTTAGTTATATCGATATCATAAAGAGCTAGACAGCTGCAAAATTGCTCTCTTCTTTCAGATAATCAAAGTCTTTCTAACGACTTGTTTCGATTCATGTTACTTTGTACATTGAAAGCATTCTTCTAGCCAAAACACAAGCCTCAACAAGGACTACTATGTGATTGTATGAATATATCATTGGTTGGATGTGTCAAATTAATTTTAAAATCTAGTGTGATTATTGTTCGATAAAAGAAAATTATACTAGTACTATTTATCGTTGAATGTATAAAATACAAGAAAAAAACGTGTATGGTTATGCTTATTGTGAATAGAGTTTATAATATATGTGGGTGGCGCCGTGGCGGCATGACATAGTTGTACATAAATATAACAATAATAAAAGACTTGAGTGTAGTCTATATATCTTAATTACTATTTTCTCGTCATCAGTTATAAATAAGTTTATTTTTAATATTTTATTTCAAAATAATGATGTTTGTTGATAATCAAGATAATAAAATTAAAAGACTCACTTATAGTCTATATTTTTTAACAAGTCTATTTGTCAAACAATGTTTTAGTTCACAAGCATTACGATAATATTGTGACTAGATTATACTTTAGATATTTTATGATCCATAAATGTTTTAGATATTTTCGTTTATGTTTTACAGAATGTATATATTCCTGGTTCGATGACTTTCTGAAAATGTGAACAAGTGGATATCATTCATCCTCATACTATGTTTTGTGATTAATTAACATGATTGGATACCAAAGTCAAATAAATTACAGAGAAATTGGTAAAAATAAGTAAACATTTATTTAAAAAAGTTTGTGCTTATATAAGCTTTTGTCGATGTGCCATTATCGAAATTCTAATATGTAAGTAAACAATTATTGATATATTGATAGGAAAGGTTACATTTTTTGAATAACTTCTATAAATAATAAATGGGTTTTTTTTTTTGGTGCAACAGTCATTTTATTCCATGAAATCTTTAAAAGAAGGAGGTTCATACTTAATGAAATTGAACTAGTTCATGAAAGTAAAGATAAAGGTTCAATGAGTTTTCAAAGAGATGCAAATTTTTGAAAAGTTTGCAATGGTTGGATGATCATTTGATGCCTTGAAAGATTCAAGTTTGAAGACGAGTTTTGAGAAATCTCCGACCAAACTGGTGGTCAAAAAGAATTTTTGTTAAATCGCTTTAAGGAGGAGAATAAGGATGACTACAATTTCTAATTGGAGAGAAAGGTTTACTAGAGTGGTTTCTCCTGTAAGGAATAGGTTTGGAGGATTCTCTTAAGAAAATATGTTATATTTTAAACGTGTTAATGGACGAATTTGTTTTATTCAACATTTTCAAGTTGAAACACATAATATTTGTAAAATCTAATCATATATATATATATATATATCGTCTTTTATATTATTTCGTTAGATGATCTCTATTGGAAACATACATGAACGACATGAAGTAACCATTTACATGTAAACATTTTTATTGCTCCATTTCTTCATTCACTTTAATTTCCGATGTGGAATCTCCTCCGATGATACCCCATGCTTTGGATGCTGAAATGTTTTAAATACATATACATAAGAGAGTCGGTACTGTTTAATTTATCCTATAGAGAATTAACTATGTATATTCATATATTTTGATGCAAAATCATAAACAAAAAGAGAAAAATAATATTTATGAAAGAACGATGATAAGAAAAAAGAGACGAACCTGCCGTAGATAGAATAGTGTTATAGTCAGCTCCAACGTTCCAGGCAAAGTAACCAAGCAGACCGTTCTGTTTAGCGTATCCCACTTTCTTAACCACACTATGAGTATCGTCGTACCCAATCCAAGTCATCTCGGCGGAACAATAATTTCCGACAACGTTGGAGTCATAAACGTATGTTGCATCCTCATCCCCTATGAACTTAATTATCTGAGCATAGGTTATAGAACCGTCCTCAGATACGTCCTTATATTTGGCTACTCCGGCCGCAGATGCATTATAACCTGTATCGTTGTTGTTTTGGAGAGTCCAAGCCCATCCAACGTATGTGAATCCCAATACTGCTTTACTCACGGGAAGTCCGTCCTTAATCCACTGTTTCAAACCAGAGTCGCCACTTGGAGTTGGACCTATCAATCAAAATTACCACATTCTATTCAAGTTGTGCCAAAAAATATCTATAATAAAGTTGACTCGTAGGGAAATATATACAATTATGTTTATACCTATGTTGTTAGGAGAAACGTGCAGGCCGGCGGTTGGAGCGGTAAATTGGGAATACGAGACCGGATCGTAAAAATCATAGGCTATGATATTAACCCAATCCAAGTTTTCTTTCATTTTCTTAACCGGGTAGGTAAAAATCTTGTAAACAGAGGAGTAGTAAACCACAGCTGTTAACAGCAAAGCTGTTTTGTTAGTGCGTATGCTATCGGCGTCAACCGCTGTTCGCAAATCTTTAATTAGGTCCCCGAATGCGTTCATCTCAGCATCATTGTTCGGGTACTCCCAGGCTAAATCGAGACCATGGAATCCGTTTGATCTAGCGATGGCAATCCAAGAATCAATAAACGATTTACGAGACTCTTGTTTACTTGCCATGGACGCAAACGCAGAATTGTTTGCACTTCTTCCGCCGATGGACAAAAGGGTCTGAACGTATTTATTTCGATTCTTGACGGTTTCAGTGAAGGTGGAAAATATGAGTTCATGCGCTTGGGAGACAAAAACTTCATGGGTGGTAGCGTCGAGATCGGCGAAGGCGCAGAAAAGGTGAGTGAAGAGATTTGACGGAATGGTTTGGGCCGAGGTTGCGGGATCCTTGGTCTCTCCATCTGGAAACCAGTACGAAGCTTTTACCACGGAGGCGGGAGTTCCCTGATTCAAATAAGAGCACATTTTGCTCTCAAAGTCTTAAATAAACAGAAAATGTGATTCCCTTCTCTGTTTATAGTTATTTTTGGGAAAATATATTTTGAAAAATTCAATTTTTGATTTCAAAAGAAAAAGTCTATGTTAAATGTTGTGACCGTGGACAACATTAGGAAGCTCATACATATCATACTTGATGTATTCTTATTTAATTATATTAACACTTCTTGTAATATAAAGTTTAAAACCTAATTTTGTGGTGGTTGAAGATTTTATCTTATTTGTTTTAAAAACTAGGGTCCGACTATTTCCACCTGTGAATTTAATTATGTATGCGTACTATATATGGATTTCATGGATACATGATTTTACACATAAGTTTGGTATACTGGTATCAGACTTTTACGATTTGTCTATTTGTCAAAGAAACCTTGAGTATTTTAAGGTATTACATAAAATTTCACTTTTTTAATTAAAAATTAGAAAAATTTCATTAGGGATCATTGTCATCATCCTTATAAATTTAACTTAACAAATATCAAAATTTGATAAGTTTGTATTCAGTTTAGTTTGATTGTTATTTAAACATTTAAATTAATTATACCGGATATTGCAATTTGACACTAGAAATTTGATGTTTCATACCAAAACAAAAACAAACAGAAAACGTTAAAAACAAATGTTTGACGCCAAAGTTCAACTTTAACATAATAATTCCACCAAGTTACAGTTTTGAATCATGACTTATAGAGATGTCACTTTTTTGATGAACTGTGCCATATATCAAATTTGACGTACTTCTATTCAAAATTAAAGCTATATTAAAAAAAACAACAAATAAATCTATCATAAGATATTTGTAAATTGTTGAATTTTAATAATTAAGATGGCTTGGCCAACATGACATTAGTAATTGACAACAAAAACTAATATAGTCTACGGTTAAGAAAAAAGAAAATAAAAAGACTAGGTTTATAGTCCATATATCTAAGATTTTTTTCAGTCAACGTCGATCTAACAAGTAGTGGTAATAACTAATATGTTAACTTAATAACTAAAATAAAAATAACAAAGCAGCCACTTTAATTATGTGTGTCCCATGTCATTTTTATATCGTCGTTTAAACAGGGATTATTAATGGAAAAAAGATACCTACCTACATGAAGTATGCTACAATACATGTTCACACATCTGAAGTTTAAAAATGTATCTCTAACTACCCAAACTATATGTATTGCATGTCCACATATACGAACTAATCTAGTCATGTCGCCAACATCACGAACATTTTTTTCGGTACACTTTTCGCCGGAATCCGGCGTTGACCAGTTTTACCGGCGTTGACCAGTTTTACCGGCGTTGACCAACATAAATATTTTTTTAAAAAAATATTAGTTTTTTAATATTTAGAAATTATGTTATTGAATCATTTATAATATTGTAAATTAATATATATATATACAATATTCAATATAAAAATATTTTGTATATATATTCAATGCATTGATTTTTATAATTAGTTAGTTTCGATAATTTCAAAACTAAACTAAAATAAAAACCAATTAGGTAAAATAATAATAAAAAATAAAACTTAAAAATAAATAAAAAATCACAATGTTTCTTTTAAATATTTATAAGATAGAAGATCTAACAATTTTTATAACTAGTAGAATAAAACTCACACATAATTGGTTTGATTCTAATGCTTTAATATTTAAAATTCACATATTATATATTAAATATTCAAATATTAAACCCAATGATGCTCATGTCCGAATATGTTTAAAAATAGGAAATTTTTTTTTTTATTATTATTTTTCCTAATTGCTTTTTTTTTAGTTTACCTTTGAATTATCGAAACTAACTAATTATAAAAATCATTGCATTGAATATATATATATACAAAAGATTTTTATATTAAAAATTGCATATATTTTCTTAATTATACAATATTATAAATGATTCAAAAAAATATTTTTTAAAATAATAAAACCCTAAAAAAAAATCTTTTTTTGAATATTTATGTTGGTCAACGCCGGTCAAACGGGTCAATGCCGGATTCCGGCCAAAAGTGTACCGGAAAAAATGTTCGTGATGTTGGCGACATGACTACATATAGTTCATATATGTGAACATGCAATACATATAGTTTGTGTAGTTAGAAATACATTTTTAAATTTCGGATGTGTGACCATGTATTGTATCATAATTTGTGAAGGTAGCTATCTTTTTTCCATTATTAATATACATAATTAGATTATTAATTATGTGTGTCCCATGTCATTTTATATCGTTGTATTTGTGTTTACTTCGTCCATAATAGTGTTGCTCTGATTTTTCCAACCAATCGACGAACTTTTCACTATGTCTTCCCTTAAAACGTGTTTGCCTTTTTTCTTCGTCAAGTGTGCATCATTTACTGTGTCTACACGTACGTGTTCTTCTGGATGCCATGTGATTCATATAGACATAGTCAACATGTGAGAATTTTCTTAATTTTATGGGTGTGGACTGTGCAGACGTTTAATATGCTTTCGAATAAAACTGCATTCGTCGATTTACTATACCAATCATAAATATGTGATCATTTTTCTTGTAACAATTGGATGAAAACTAAATTAATAGAGAAAAAAAATACATCTGTAAATGGATTGGGAAAGTCGCTTTTAATTCGTTTTTTTTTTTTTTTTTTTTTTTTTTCTTTTGTAAACGTCGCTTTTAATTCGTTTATGGAGAAATTTTTCGTAGCAATTAATTCGCTCAAACGTGTGAAAATTACGTCATCTTTGTCATTTAGTTCCACATATTGCAATTTATAGACAAATGTATTTTGGATTTAGTGCCTTTGTTGTGATGATAGAGAAATAAATATGAAATAAAATTTTAACATAGATTAGATGATTCCGTATTCGTAAACAATTTATTTAAGCAAGCGTTTATTTTGTATAATAAAAAGCAATTACTTCTTCCCTTGCAATATGCTTAAACTGATGTATGGTTCTGGTGGTTGCCGACACATCTCATGCCTGTGACGCTGTATAACAAAAAAATTCCAGGGAAAATAACTTATAAATATTACTATTTCGTTTAAAATTAAAAATAAATAATTAATAGGAATTTCATAAATAAATCTATGTGGACTAGCTTTCCAGAACATTAATCAGTCTAGATATTTGACTCAGGTTTTTTATAACAGATTTTGTTTTGATAAATGATAAATATATAACAAATGTTTTAGTCAAAAGATAGCAGTTAAAGTTTAGATAAAAATTCAGTGCATTATTTTACTATTTCTCTTGAATAAATATATAAATATTTAACACGTTTAATAATAACACTGAATATCAAAATGATAGAGATGACATTTGAAATAGAAGCTAATTAATAAAATATATATCCACATGAGAAAATAATCTATCAGAGGAATAATAATTAATTACGTTTTCGCAAAAATTAACTACTATGAGTAATTCAAGAATTTTAAGCAAAGATCATAATATAATTTATCATGTTATAAAAAAACATGTGACACATGAGAGGTAAAAAATCGTCCAAACATGTTTGAATCCATTTGGTTTAATGTTTTTTTCTAATAACATATTGTTGCGGATGCAATGCAGAGACATAAAAAAATAAGGAAAAACGAACCTGCACGAGCTAGTTCTGAATTATCGTCAGCTCCAACATGCCACGAGAAGTAACCAAGCAAACCTCTTTCCTTAGCATATCTCACTTTCGTCACAATGCTTTGACTATCGTCAAAACCAATCCAAGTAGTACCAGCGTAACAATAATCCCCGACAACCGTCGTATTATGAACCGGTCTTACCCCATTTTCTGTAATAAACTTCTTTATCTGAGGGTAAGTTATCGCACCGTCCTTTGACATCGCTGGTCCAGTGGTTGCGGCGTAGTAACTGTTACTGTTAGCGTTTGAGAGACTCCATGCGTAGCCGTAAAATGGAAACCCCAACACTGCTTTCTTTGTGGGAAGTCCAGCTTCAATCCACGCCGTTACTCCCGCGTCTCCGCTTGGACCTATAAAACAATTAACCGGTTTTAATAAAGTATTTTTATTTTTGACTTTTTTTTTTTTAATCCAAAATCGAATGAGAAATTATCTGACATATATATCAAAAAAATCCCTAACGATATATATTACCAATTTAAATCGACTAACTATATATATATATATCACGCTTTTGTATCATTCTTAATGATTTAAAGAAATATCAAGATAAAAGAGTAATGTCTTTGATTTAGTTCGGTTATAGTAGTACCTGTATTTGAAGGATCATACAGAGCGGCTGGTGGACCTGTTATTCTTGATGAACTATCCGATCCATAAAAGAAATCGTAAGCCATAAGATTGACCCAATCCAAACTGTTGGCAACGACTTGAACCGGGTACATATCTGAGTCGTGTTTCGAGGAGTATGAAACCGCAGCCGTCAATAACAAAGGCGGGCTACCGCTGCTAGAGGCCTCAGCCATAACCGCGGATCGCCATTCTTGAAGTAGCGTCCCGAAATTGTTCATCTCCGTCTCACCTTTCGGGTATTCCCAATCAAGATCGAGACCATCGAACCCATTCGATCTTGCCAACGCAATGGAAGAGTCTATGAAAGTTTTTCGCGAGTTAGAGTTACTTGCCATGGAAGCAAAATCGGCTGATATACTTTCATTTCCACCACCGATAGACAAAAGGGTTTTCACGGAAGGGTTCTTTTGTCGGACGGTTTGTGTAAATGTGGAGAATTTAGGTTGGTTCGTGGAGGAGATAGTGAGTTCATTTGTTTGAGGATTGAGGTCAGCGAAAGCGCAAAAAAGGTGAGTGAAAAGAGATGAGTCAATGTCGGCGACGGGGAATTCACTATTTGGGAACCAATACGTAGCTTTCACGATGTTTTGGGCCGAGGAGGATCGGAGGAAGAGAGATAATAAGAAAGTGATGTAGATGATGAGTTTTGTGGAAGACATTGTTTGAGTTATTGTTTTAAAAACAAAGGATGGCTTCGTTGTCTATTTATAGATATTTAGTAACCTAGCTAGTGTTGTTAAAGAACCGTTCCTTTGGCGACTATTCTCTCCCTAACTCTTTTACTACTTCTTCCTCTTCTCTGAAAACGACTTTATGACATGTGACCGAAGACTAAGAAAATTTTGTTGAATTTTATCGATTTGAAAGTTACACTGTAATGATCAAATGTATACGATAATAATTGATTACCAAATGTCACGGATAAATAAATGCCAACTAATTAATAATGTTAAAACAGAATAACAGATAAGAGAAAATATATGAATATATCACAATCGTATAAATGATAGCTCAAACTCGTAAAGTGTTTCAGGTTTCTTTTAGGTGGATTGAACTCAAGAGAGAAAATGAATCAATATACAATGTTTGAATCATCAACGCAGTGGTTTTTCTCCTTTTTAATGAAAAAAAATCAATGCTAAAAAGTTAGTAACATATAGACCATGTGACTGTTTGTCTAAACTAGTCCATGGATTTAAACTAGTCTGTGGCAAAACAACTATCTAGAAAAACAAAATTGATATCTTATTAAAGGTATATCTAGATGTATACTAGTTGTTGATGGATTTTTCTACTTAAGATATACATATTTGACTATCATCAACTAAGTTTACTTATAATTGCAATAAATGGCATTACCACTGATTTTTCCATGACCTGCACCGAACACAAATTCAAAGTGTTCACCGAATGTGCCATTGGTTGAAGAGTCAAATGACAAAGTCTGGCGAGTAATGTCCTACAATGGCTAAGTCAATTGTGGTCTACATAGTACATGTCATCTATAAGACATTTATTACTTCTATTTTTTTTTTTCTGTTCTAGATGTATTCTTTTTGTTTTACTGTGAACGTTATTAAGATAAAAAGAATTAACCATAATAAACCAGCGTATTTCCAGAAAAAAATGAGAGTTGATCCAATTGAAAATAGTGGTCCAAATAAAGAAGATATAAATTGTAGCTTCTTTTATAGTATTAATTCTGAAAACATGTAAAATTGTAGTATATGGTTTTTCTAAAGATATATTTTTTAGAATCAACAAAAATATATGTAGACCCTAGATATGCAGCCACTATCATAGAACAAAAAGTTGACCATTAAGTTATTTTTGTTGTTGTTGTTGTAGTCCTAATCTTTGGTTTTTTTATCCAGCTTGTCCTCTGGATCGGACATGTGAACAGTTCTCAGCCAAATGACCAGTGCGTCCACACCTTGCACATAGCATCTTATCTCTCTCCTCACGAATTGGGTATAAGTTTCTCGGTCCGGTGACAAAGGCCATGTTGTTGGTTGTGTCTTCTACTATGCTTGTAATTCCTACATCCTGAAATCAAAGATGAGATGATAAGGGCAGTATTAAAAAGCAAGGAAAAATAAAAGCTTTAACGGCTGATGGAGACATTTGATCGAGTTCCTTTTGTTGTGTACGATTTACGTGTTTGTTTGTTATAATGTAAGACAAACCATATTTAAATAATAATAAAAAAATCCTGAAGATAAACAAATTCAAATTCAGGTTGTGTATGTCCAGAAGTGAAAATCTCTCTGGTCAAGGTGTGAATGACACCATAAAAAAAAAAATATCGAAACGTTCTATTCGAAACTATATAGAAAAATTCTAAAGTGGATATATATTTTTGATAGCCTATCAAGCAAGAAACCAATAACTACTAATTGACTCATCTTCACGCTAGTTGCTAACAAGCTCAATTTCGAAGATGAGAGTTCCAAGAGTAGAACTAATTAAATAAATACGAATTACTCATCTTCAATGGATTGTTACTTCTTCCAGAGACATTACCAGCAGGCAGCAGCATGCTTAAGATTTAAATATATATATGATTGATTATCTTAAACTTTCTATTTTCAGTGGCTTGATGCTAGTCCCGAAGATTTACATCAATAAGCAACAACGTCTCTAAAACCACTAAACTAGTTGGAGGGAGTACAAGTTATCGAATTGGCGTAAGTACGTGGATCTCACAAACTAATTTTACTCTCACTTCAATATATTATTATGGAAAACATATAATCACACACATATATATATATATATATATATATATATATATATATATATTAAAATACATGTTTGGAAATTTGTACTATCAATTTACTATTATGGAAACTTTCGGTCATGATATTAGATATTCCTATAAAAAAAAAAATTTGGTCAATAACTTAAGAAAATAAACGATGGAGTAGAGGAAGAAGAAAGACCTCGAATCCTTCACCTTCACTGCGAAGCGATTTGATAGCTTCGACGTCAGTGTAACTCACTAGCTGAAAGAGAAGCTCGTCCTTGGAGTGTGACTGTTGTTGCACCATTTTTTTATAGGAATATATCGAAATGAATGGAACTTAGAAGAGGAGTAAAAATCAATATCTATATATAGAATCTTGATGAGAAAACGTTCTTTCCTTGAGTTTGTGTAGATCGACTAGAAATTGGGAAATGAAAAGGAAAAAGGTAACGAAAACACGCAGCAGCTAGTAGCGAGGAATTATGTAATTTAACTTCAATAAGACAAAAACACTCTTTGCATGAGAAACTTGTTCAAGAACAAAGAAGTGTCCGAGAAAGTTATGAGTTGACTCGGTTAATACAAAGACGGAAAATTAGGACTTGGGAGTTTACTCAAGAAATGCTATAAAAATTGCCAAGAAAATAGCACGAAGATAATAAACCCAAACAAGAATCTAAGAACTAGAGAAAAAAAAAAACCCAATAAATTTAGTTTTGTTTCCTACCTAAGAAAATTGTGGATCAAACAAAAGCTTGATACTTTGAATATATTAGCTATAAAAAAAAAAAGAAGAAGAGAAAATGTGTATCTATTTTGGATGACTTGGATCTACATTAATGACATTCCAATGATGCCTTGTTCCTCAATCTATATCGCAAACGGCTACTATACACATGATGAGTAGCTAATTTCAAGAACTGCTTTTTGAATCTTCTGCTTGATCCGAATTTGGATATGTTGGAGAAGCTGGTGGTCGCAGTGGAGTTGGTGAATCAGAAGCCATTGTACTTGATGATTAGGACTTTGGCCGGAAAATAATCAATGGAGAAACAGTACAGATTAAGAGGCGTCACAGACTGCGGGAACCTTGGACCATCAAATTTCTAGTTAACTAAAGATGACGAACTCGAAGCAAATAGAGATCATAAAGCAATACACATATACTTCGATGTATTTACAGCATGTGATTATGCTACTGTGGTTATAACAATTGAGAGAAGTGTTTTTAAATCCGACTTGATCCATCTGGCTATATATATCGGTCCAGCTGTTAGCAGAGTTTCATATTTTCAGTTCCTTTAATTATCAGCTAGGCAGCGACAAATCATAGCTGAACGTATATGGAAACATGTAAGATAAAAATAGCAAGGAGTCTTGGATTTTTTTTTTTGGTGGGAAAGCAAGGAGTCTTGGATTTGATGTGAGTTATTTGATTCTTACTAATTAAAAATATTTGTTATTCAATAAAAAAAGCATTATATATGTTTGATAAAACTTATGGTTCTTTCTTTTAAATTATCAATATCTTATTATTTCCCTTTTCTTTGACTATATATAAGCAAATAACGTTTATTTTTTTGTATAAGTTACAAAAAGCCACTTCTTCACTTGTAGTTGTGGGAACATTGGAAAGCTTAAACCTTTTCTATAGTTCTAACGGTTGCCGCCGTAGCATCCCATGCACGTGATGCTGCAAAATCCCAAAAAAAATAAACCATCAAAACATAATCTTCTCTATGCACTTAAAAAACGAAACGAATACTTAGAATTTGGGATAAAATCAAACCTGCACGAGATAGACCAGAATTATCGTCAGCACCAACGTGCCACGAGAAGTAACCAAGCAAACCTCTCTGCTTAGCATATCTCACTTTGGTCACAATACTCTGATTATCGTCGTAACCAATCCAAGTAGTGCCAGAGTAACAATAATCTCCAACCACGGACGAGTTATAAACCGTTGTTGCTCCGTTATCTACTATGAACTTCCTTATCTGACCGTAACCTATCGAACCATCGGGTGATATAGCCGCTCCAGAGGTAGGCGCATAATAGCTGTGGCTATTAGCGTTCGTGAGACGCCACGCGTAGCCGTAGTATGGGAATCCCAAGACTGCTTTCTTCGCTGGAAGTCCAGCTTGAATCCATGACCTTGCTCCTGCATCCCCGCTTGGACCTATTCTCACGAACCATGTTTAATAATTATACAAAACTAGGGGTTTAATATTTCCGTTTCGGACGTCGGCAAGATTTTATTATTTTGTAACAAATATGATCATTGAAGGTTGAAAACATATAAACCGAACCAATATTTATACTGAATTAAACCAAATATTTTAAAAGCTTTATATTGGTAATACATTTTTTGACTGAATCAAACGAAATCCAGTACAACAAAACCCCGAAAAAAAAAAACTGCAAATTTATCAAAATTTTATAAGTATTTTTTCACCAAAAAGATTAGTTGCATAAGTATTGTTTTTACATTTTAAATGTAAATTAGTAAATTATTACTGATTTATAATTATTTGTATTTTGCAGTTTGGCTTATCACTGATTTAATAGTGTTTAGGTATATGATAAATGATATTCATTTTTGAAATTATTTGGAAAGAAACAAAAAAAAAACTAATAAGTATATTAAATTTTGATTAAATTACTCTAAGTTCTAATATTGATTATATATATACTACTACCACGTAGTAGTACTTTAAGATTTCTGGATTATAAACCAAAAAGGTTGGGATGATGTATCGGTTTTAATAATTGGTTTGGTTCAGATATTATTGTACCTGTGTTGGAGGGATTATAGAGAGCAGCTGGTGGACCGGTTACTCTAGACCAACCCGGTCCGTAAAAATCATAGGCCATAAGATTAACCCAATCCAAGCTGCTAGCAACGGCTTGAACCGGGTACAGTACCGAATAATAATTATTGGAGTAGAACACCGCAGCTGCCAATAGCAAACGCGGTTTACCGCTGCTACTAGCTTCTGCCACAACCGCAGATCGCCATTCTCGAAGTAGCGTTCCGAAGTTGCTCATCTCCGTTGCGCTGCTCGGATACTCCCAGTCTAGATCAAGACCGTGGAATCCGTACGACCTAGCGAGTCTTATCGAAGAATCAATGAACGATTTTCGAGAAGTGGGGTTACTTGCCATGGAAGCATACGCGGTTTTATCGGCGATTCCACCGCCGATAGACAAAAGGGTCTTCACGGAAGGGTTTCTACGTTGGACAGTTTGTGTAAAAGTGGAGAACTTTGGTTGGTTCGCGGAGGAGACAGTGACTTGATTGGTTTGAGAGTTGAGATCGGCAAAAGCGCAGAAGAGGTGAGTGAAGAGAGATGAGTCAATGTCCGTGACCGGGAACTCACTCGCCGGGAACCAATACGTAGCTTTCACGACAGTTTGCGCCGTGGAGGGTCGGAGGAGAGATAAGAAGAATGTTATGGAGACAATGAGCGAGATGAGTTTTGTCGAAGACATTTTCGAGTTGCTGTGAAAAACAGAGATGTGGTTTCGTTGTCTATATATTGAAAAAGTATGTTTATTTTCTTACGTAATTCAACTTTGAAAAGTCAGAAATCTTATGAACAATATCTTAAGAAAGCGAAAAGTCTAAATTGGGACAAGATTTGCATTTTTGTCAACACCCCACAAGTGTACTACGAATGCTAAACCAAGGACCCAGAGACACATAATGAAACGTCATTTGTAGCAAAGTTGAATATTCTACCCACGTATCCTATAGAATATCCAAAATGCTTACGACAGATTTTGTTTAATCCAATACATACCGGATATTATATGATTTCTTGACAAACAAGAAACCAATTAGCACTTATTGAGAGTATGACTCATCGATTAAGGCATGTCTGGTGCTGACTAGTTTGAAGTGGAAAACAAGAGTTTCAAGAGTTGTACCTTCACCATTGGCAACACGTGCTGGGTTGAAGATGGCTGTGAAGAGTCTGTGTCTGTCAAAGAACTACAATACACACTCAACAAGAAAGAAAGAATCATACATATTGAAACATATCTGTCTCTGCAAAGACTATTGTGATCTCTTTACATTTATTTAGTTTTTTGAGGAATCACAAGACCCATCTTCAAGCATCGGTTATATGATCTTAAACAAATTAATACTAGTTCCAGTCCCATTGGCATATAACTAATTATAGAGTCCTAGGGTGAAATGATGAATTCTATAGCATGCCAAACTCTCTCATGCCTAAACCAATCCCTTTATCACTTAATACCCTCTCGGCTCTCCCATCTATTTTGATCCCAATTCCTATGAACATACTTATGTGGAAACAAGTGGATGTTTCTTTAGAGTCAAATGAGATACTATAGATGAATGGGGGACAACGACAACAAGTGGCTGCACTAATGATGTTTGTGTGGTCTTTTAGTACAGTGAAGTAGATGTATTTGTGAAATTGAATTTATGAGTGGCATCTTGGGGACGGCACTCTCAAAAACCAAATCCTTTACAAGTTGTATGTTTCTTAATATTTGACTTTCTACTTTTGTTCTTATCACATTATACTGCGTCGTTGGGGTAATATCACTTCCTCCTCTCTATCCCATCATTTCAAATGGTTCTGATACTACTTTGAGAAACTTTACTTAAAGAAGTGTGCCTTGCACTAAAGTTACAGCACAACGGAGCAAGGTTGTGTCCCAAAACAGGTCATGCTCCAACACATCCAGAAAATGACATATGTTTGGTCTATTTAAGCATTATTATTGTGTCTTGTAGATTTCAGCTTTTTTTTTTTCTTTTTTCTTTTTATAACTTAGTTATATATTGAAAAGTTATGAGGGAGATGAGTTTTGTGGAAAACATTTTCGAGTTGCTGACACACAGAGATGTGGGTTTCGTTGTTGTCAATATATTGAAAATGTATATTTAATTTCTTACGTAATTCAAATTTTAAAACTCAGATTTCTATGAACAATCTTAGAGCAACATTATTGGGGTATCTTAGAGGCTAAGATACCCCAATAATGTTGGTCTTACGAAAGCGAAAAGTCTAAACTGGGACAAGATTTGCGTTTACGTCAACACACAAGTGTAAAAAGAGACATAATGAAACGTCATTTATATAAAAGTTGATATTCCACTCACGTATCTTATAGAATATCCAAAATGCTTACACATACTCAAACTTGATTTATATCAATTAGTAGTATTGAGAGTATGACTCATCGCTTAAGGCGTCGTCTGGTGCTGACTAGTTCGATGTCAAAAACAAGAGTTCCAAGAGTTGAACCTTCTCCATTGGCAAGACGTGTTGGGTTAAAGATAGTCGTGAAGAGTCTCTGTCTGTCAAAGAACTGCAATACACACTCAACAAGAAAGAAATCAAACATATTGAAACCAATCTTGATAATATCTGTCTCTGCAAACAATATTGTGATCTTATCTTGACATAAATTCAGTTTCTGAAGATTCACAAAACCCATCTTCAAGAATTTGTTATATGATTGGTTCTCTGAAACTTTCCCATTAAACGAATTAATACTAGTTACTGTACCACTAGCCCGATGCAATTAACATGATCACAGACCTTATGGCAACTAAAGTCTATGAAACTAGTTTATGGGATTTATCAAGATATGAAATTGTAAACTGCTCTATTTCACCCTGAGTAGTACATAATCGAGATTCAAAGAAGAAACTAACCAAATAACCAAGTAGAGAAGTCCTATGGTGAATTGAATTCTATAGCATGCAGAACTCTCTCATCCCTCAACCAATCCCTTTATCACTTGATACCCTCTCCCATCTATTTTGACTATGCACATACCTATATGGAAACAAGTGGATAATTCTTGTGTTACCTATAGATGAATGGGGGACAACAAGTGGCTGCAAAAATGATGTTAGTGTAGTCTTTTAGGAGAGTTAAGTTTTCATGAGTGGGATCTCGGGGACGGCACTCTCATGAACCAAATCCTTTCCAATTTGAGTCTTTCTTAATATATGAGTTTCTACTTCTGTTCTTGGCACATTTTTACTGCCTCATTGGGCTTATATCACTTGCTCCTCTCTATCCCATCGTATCAAATGGTTCTGCTTACTTTGATAAGAACCTAACCAATACTAGGCCTTAAAACCAAAACTATCTTGAGCGTGTGGAAGACTAAGGCACTCACTAGCCAGGCCCAAAGCTAATCTATGTGGGACTCTAAAGAAACATTTGACTTTCATATTGACACATTATAGAAAAGTCTAAGGGGAGAGAGGTCGGTGTGGCACATACGTTTGGTGGAAGAGGTTCTTGTGATGTATTTTGGTATCCTTGAGATGGAGGTATAATCACGCGACGAATCCCGCCTACTTTCATAGACCTTACAGCTGTTTCAATTCCCGGAATTACCTGCACATCAAAACGTTTCTTTCAGTCATCAGACTTAAACCAGCTTTGGTCAATGTTGTAACAGAGATCAAAACACCATAACAGAAAACAGGGGCGAAGAAATATTCTCAGCTTCAAAAACCTCAATCCACTTTGTAAGAACAACACACAGAATCAAACATAAGTTACACCAACTAGTCAATGAGGAAATGTTTCAAAGGTCACACCTTTGAATCAAATTCTGATATTTTTTACAAGACTCATTTCACAACAACTTAACACATGATTGGGGACTGAAGCAAATAGAGAAAAAAGATTCATACTTTGCTAGAACCAAGGACGAATGTGAAAGGAACAGCTTCACCACTACTGTCTTTATGATCATATGTTGAATCAAATCTCCATCCTTGCTTTGCAGCCAACCTCCCATAGTAATGTATTTCAATCTAAAAAATCGAAACTTTGCAAAATTGAGTTAAAGGGTTCGTTCATTCTGAAATCTACAGTTTAGAAAAGCACAGAACCTGGTCTCCTTCAATGGGAACTTCACCGTCACCGATTCGGAGGTCGAGACTCTTAACTCCGCCGGAATCCGGGATTTCGGAGAATTCAGCTTGAGCCGGAGAAGAGAAGCCAAGGGAGGAGACGACGGATGACGTGACGGCGATAATAGACAGAGATATTGATCTTCTAGATGCTGCAACTGTCGACGGTGACGATGACGGGGAAGAACGAGATGCGAAGATTCTGAAAGATGATGGTGATGTGAAATGGACGGTCTTGATGAAAGGAGCACCTACTAGTGGTGTCCACGCGACGCACCGAATCATCGTTCTATAAGCTTTCTAAACAATGAAACATATTCTAGCTTTTGGTAAGGGAAGTGAAGTGGATGGAATTTGATTGGATTGAGATTATGATAGATGCTGCCAAAACTTTCGTGGAAACAAAAACAAGACAAAGTTGTCAAACTCTAACCAAAATACAATTTTAGCATTTTAGAATACACTATAGTGATGTATCATTGGACAATTATGTTTTAGAAGTATCACAAAGAGGTTTTATTGTTCCTAGAAACCCCATTATTTTGAGAAAAAAAACTTGTAGAAAATACAAATTTTTTAAAAGTTTATCAAAGAGTTATAACTCTGTACGTTTTATTTTAATGACTCAAGTGTCAAGAAAGACCTAATTTTCTACATAGTTTTGGAATAATGTGATTTTCTCTATACATGAATTTACCAGGTTATAAAAATATTATTGTTATAAAAAAATAGGAAATAAAACATGACAAGATAGAATATGTTCTTCAAACACCCTTTACATATGGCTAATATGTAGCCATTTAGCATAAGTTCTTTGTCAAGTTGAATATAATGATCTATATATAACAAAATTATGAAAAAAAAAAAAAAAAATTGTAGTAAGCAAAAAATATTGCTCAAGAGTTATTAACAAAGAAGATGTTTAGCAACACGGAATCGGAATACTTTATTCCGGTGAAGAAAGAAGCTTCACCGGTGATGACGACGTCAACGATGAGAGCTCGACCAGTGAAATCTCCACATAACTTTGAGGCCATTCTCAAAAACGCAGATCCTCCGATCTCTGTATCCTCTGTTAATCTCTTTCAACAGTTACGGTCTGGTGTTTTCTTAAAGCCCACGAAACAGGTTAATAATTTTCTCTCAAAATATTATTTCTTTATTAAGAAAAAAAAATTAAACATATTAAAATATTAAGATGGATAGACCATGAATTCATTTGTTTTGGTGATATGATCATATTAAACAGATCAAATATTGGGTGGACGAGAGAAACAACAACTGCTTCATGCTCTTTGCAAGGAACCTCACGATCACTTGGTCTGATGACCTCAACTATTGGACTTGGTTTACCGACAGAGAATCACCAAAGTAAGATCCATTTCATTTAAATCCCACACTATGATAGTATGATTAATATATACACCACAAAATGAATATGTTTATTACAAATTAGAATTTATTGACTTATTATAAAGTACTGAGTATGAATCAAACATTCGAGGTCGACCTAATTAGTTTTTTGTTTTGTTTATGATGATCTTAAAAGCGAGACAGTTGTGGAAGCTGCGGAACTGAAAAACGTGTGTTGGCTCGACATCATGGGAAAATTCGACACGAGGAACCTCACTCCGGGGATTGCGTACGAGGTGGTCTTTAAGGTGAAGCTAGAGGATCCTGCTTATGGATGGGACACGCCGGTAAACCTAAAGCTAGTATTGCCTTCCGGTAAGGAGAAACCACAGGAGAAAAAGGTGAGTTTAAGGGAACTCCCACGGTATAAATGGGTCGATATCAGAGTCGGAGAATTTGTACCGGAGAAATCTACCGCCGGAGAGATCATTTTCTCAATGTATGAGCATGTGGCTGGCGTTTGGAAGAAAGGGCTCTTCTTCAAAGGTGTTACAATTCGTCCCACACATTAATAATAAGGGTTTATTTGCAAAATAATTAATATGGCAAACAAAGAAAACATAAATATCCATATGCACCAGTACTAGACCTTGTTCTATGTATGTTACACTGCACATCATACCATGTGGGTGTTTTTTGTATGATAAGTCACTAGTTTAAATAACAACTTTGCTATTGGTGTTGAATAAAAGCAAAACCTAGAGTTTGTAATGTTTTACAAGTTTAAATTCAGGTTTATGACTTGAGTGTCCGTAAGTAATATATGAATCAGTGAAAAAAATTATTTACGTGTCATGACTCAAGACTATGACTATGATAAACATAGACCCTAAATAAAATTGTATATATAAAAGCGATACCGTTTAGCTCAATTACATGACATTTGCCCTCAATTTTTCCTCGTTCAAAATCAGCTATTTTATTAGTTACGACTTACGATGCATCTCCGTTAAGGGTGAAGACATAAAATATTTTGTTTTTTGTCCTCCATCACAATTGAATAATCTGATTTCTCCTTCTGAATACATGTAGAGAATTTTATAAGTAATCTAACAGCTTCCTTCCGTAAGAACTAATGAAAGCTGTTATAATTAATTAGTAAAGGGGGCGGTAAAAAACAATTCATCAACTACTTTTTAACGAGTGGACATGTATTATTTTTTGAAATATATATGAAAAGGTTAAAAAGTGTGATGTAGCTTAAACTTTTTGTAATCAATCTTATACAAAAGATGGCAGAATGAAGTGTTTTTTTTTTTTTTATGTTGTTCATTCCTCTTCGATTTTCTATAAATGACTCTTTTCTATATATGTCGGCAACTCGTTGTATTACTTCAGAGAAAAAACCTATCTAGTAGACTAGTAGTACAAATGTACAATATATACAACCCATATTGGAACATTATCACAGATCGACAACTTCAAACATCAAACATCAGGGTTGAAGTAACTCAAGTGGATCTGGTTCACATTCTCTTAAGAGTTGTACTCGAAATTCCATTTTCGTGAAGAGAAATGAAGAATAAAGTTAACGTATCAAAATGAAGAGAATAAAGAATCAAACATGTTTAACAAGACATAAAAGAAAATAGGAATATATACCGATCAAAACTTGGTTTGCGATGTATAACATTTGTTTAATTTATATCTATCCTTATTCCTTAACGACACGTTGATTCTTCTACACAAACACACTAAATGAGGAGTCTACTATAATGTATAGCCAAGAGGTTGGGTATAAGTCTAGGTACGTATAGTTAAACTATTTTTGGGTATATTGATATAATATAGATTATTTTTACTAAACTTATTTAGAATTATACGGATTTAGTCATTTAGACAAAAGAGATATCTAATAAATACAAAAATGGGGTAATAATATTTTAATGGAACGAGTAATTATGTTCTGCGCGTACAGAAACGTTCAGGTCCGGGTAAGGTATAATCATGCAATCCCACCCAAAATGACCTCTATGAAGACCTGAATACAAAGAGTATAAAACAAGAAGTTATCTATAAAAGAAGAGAACAAAAAAGCACACAAGTTATCAAGAAATGGGAATAATATGTTCGATCTTCTCAAAGCTAAAGCCAAAGTTACATAATAACGAAGCCATACTAAAAGGTGCAAACTCTCCTCCTCTTTTACATGATACGGCTTCGTCTCCTCAGCTCAAAGATGACGTTTCCTTGAAGCACAAGACAGAGGTTGTAAATCTTTTTTTTCAATTACGTTTCAATTTCTTACCTCTCCTCACCTTGTTTATATATATGATAATGATGTGACTGCATTCGTTATGCTTTATTGAATATGAAATCTCTTTTTCAGAAGAACTTGATAGAGGAAGATGAGGGTAAAGCGACGAAAAACAGTTTCATGTTGTACGCGAGAGAGCTCTCAATAACTTGGGCAGGGTCTCAGTCAAATAAATACTGGAGTTGGTTCTCTGATCCTGACCAAACATTAAGGTTTGAGTTTTGTAGTGGAATCAAATTGGGTTTTTCTTTTTACAGATTTCATAGAAACCTACAAATTTGTTTACAGTGATGTAATAATTGAGGTTGCAAAGACGGAACGAGTAGCTTGGTTAGAAGTGGTTGGAAAATTTGAGGCAGAGAAATTAACTCCCAACAGTCTGTACGAGGTTGCCTTTGTGGTTAAGCTACTAGATTCTGCGAAAGGATGGGGATATCGGGTTAACTTCAAACTGGTTTTGCCTACCAGAGAAACCAAAGAGCGGCGAGAAAATATGAATATGTTAGAGAAGAACCGGTGGGTGGAGATTCCCGCTGGTGAGTTCAGGACGTCGCCAGAACCAGTCTCCGGCAAGATTGAGTTTTCAATGTTTGAGGTTAAAAGTGGTCAGTGGAAGTCTGGTCTGACTGTGAAAGGTGTTGCTATTAGACCCAAGAATTGAAAATCAGAACTTGTAAGCTTGAAACAATATATAGAACACGAAATTTATTATTACGATTAATGTACACGAGGCATGAGATTTATTAGCTATATACAGACACAGAGACGCACTTGACGATACATTACAAAGGTACGAGGCATTTTTATGCATCAACCGAGACACTCACAGCATTGAGCTCCACATGTTGTCTACCATCGTTTTGTGGTTGGACAGTTAAGGTTGCACGAGCTTCAGCTTGAGGGTTTTGGTCATTTCCAGGTTGAGAGACTGATATGGAGCTCATGGTTGACCCGGTTGTGCCAATATTGTTGTCATCTGATATGATGTCCCATGATTCTTTCACTGAAGCAACCTCGAGTCCGTTCTCGTGGTATTTCTCCATTTCAAATGTGGTGGGAAGGATGACATAATCGTTTATTGGGTTGTAGAATGGGTCAGGTTCGCCTACATTTAGCCATTTTTTGAGCATTCGGAAGACACGGTGATCATTGAGAATTCCTCGGTGCTCACCAGGAACTCCAACTCTTGCTACTGCTTCAAGCCCATCAGCCTAGGAAAGAAACAATCAACGAAACCGTTGATAGAGAAATGATCAAAGCTAAACCAATCAAAATTCAACATTTTCAATACTTGTGATAAGTTTTTGTGAAACACAATCATGCAACATACCATGGCAGATTCTACCGGGACTGTGCCATCACCGTCAACGCATATATACGTTGGCTGAAATTACCGTAAGGATGATCTAAGATCAGTATTAAAAAAAAAAAAAAGTGATTTCTTGTCTCTCACATTGTAGTTGACACCTGAAAAAGGACGATGAATGTGTTACCTGGAAGTATCTTAGATTTGTTAGATCTTTGACAGGCATCTTCTCATTCCCATAGCTGCAGGGGAGTATATATATCAGATTTAGAAAAGGCAAAACAAGTTACAAGAATATACACAAAAAACAGGAGACCTCAAATTGAGAAACATTACCAGACACTATGAGGGGTTTCTAAATTGGTCCCATATATGTTATAGAATTTAACTTGAGAAGGAAGCTTAGCAGAAGCTAATACTTTCTTGGTTTTGTGAGCCCACTCCATGATCTTCCAGTTAAAAGGAAGATCGATGGACTCTCCACAATAATCAGCCTGAAAATTTGTGTGAAGTATAAGATCAGTCAATGCAACATCTGTACATTTCAAACTATGTCATTAAATTAAAAATGGTTGTCGCATATAACTTACTGTATTATTTGAAAGTGATTTTGTGAAAACTTCAAGGCTTTCCAGGCTACGGTAAGACTCAAGAAAAACATCAGAGCATCCAACTCCATCATTGCTCTGTTTCTCTCTCCACAGCTCTAACACAGGAGGGAGTTCCCATTTGAAATACGGGCAACACATCAGCTCATATATGGATGGACACTCGATAAGCTGAAACAGCAGAAGAAACGAGGGGGCAATTATATTAAACCAATCACTAGAAGAGTTCAAACAAACAAGATCCATGACCAAATAGGACTACAGGACTACTGTTAATTGATCATTACCAACTGATGCATGCTCCACTTAGAGACGAAAAAGTTCTGCTCCCAACCATTGACAAATGACATTCCATTCAGTAAAGTTGATGTGATATATCCAGGAGCACCTGAATCAATAATGCGAAACCAATCAGTCAGGTACTTAATATAGGCTACAATCAGCAGAAATACAAGTCCAAGAATTCACCTCGAAATGGAGCAGCAATAGCAATCCAATTCTGTACATACTTCTCAAATATCTGATGACCAAAAAATGTTAGATTGAGATGGAAAAAGATAAATCTTAGAAAAAGACTAATGAATAAAGAAAGAGGATTTACATACATCACTATGCAGACCCATGAAACATTTCACCATTAGTCCTCCCATAGAATGACTTATAAGATTGATCTTCTTCCCTCCAGAAGCTTTGTAAACTGTTTCCAACTTTTTAGCAAACTCGTCCAATGTTTCCTGCAGTCTAGAACATTGCAAACACAAAACAGTCAACACACTGATCCAAATTTACATCAGAGCCTCAATCAAACTCAAAGAGATTTTACCTGTTGCTTTGGCGGAAATCATAACCAAAGCCAAAAAGGGTTTTCCCCTCTTCGAATCCCCATCCGAGCATCTCAACAATCATCTCATGGAAATAGAACACAGACTCGCGGCCAACAATCTACACAAAGTTTTAAATCATCCCAATGAGATAAGAAAAATCTAACAAACAACACTTTAAGAACAAATTCACCGAGACCTCAGTAACCAAACAGATAGAGCTTAACCATACCATATCTGGGTCTAAGACATCAATTGCATGTAGCCCAGCCCTGTCTTGAGGAACCACGATACTCGTTTTTGGATCGAGAGAGATCGTTTTACCTGTTTCCAAACAAAAATGCTAAGAACTTAACAAGCAAAGCTGATGAGGACTTTCTAAATAAACACAGAGAAACCAAAAGCCAATTTAAAGTCTTAACTTTTACAAATTGAAGTGATCATAAGAAAAAAAGGAAAACACTTTATGTTTTACCAGTTGAAGGATCAAAACGAGACCACATCTTAGTTCGAAACTCGTGATCAGCACCAAAGATCCTAACCCAAACCCGTTCTTCTTTCCCGTTCTCATGATCAACGGCGTTGAGAATCGAGCCAGCGATACCCGGAACCAGAAGAACCGGGTCTAGATTGGGATCAACATAAGTTTCATGATTCCGATTTCTGAGCTTCAGCAAAGCCTCTACTGATCGAATGATCTCTTCTAGTAACAGAGACATAGTTGAATTGAATGATGGCGTAGGAAATTCAAGGCGAGGATGACGAATTCGTAGTTTACCCAATTTGGGGAAATTAGGGTTAGGTGAGAAAATTGAAGGATTTGATTTGAAGAAGAAAGAAGAGGTGAAAAAATAAAACAAAAGTTTGGATTTTGTAATATATGCCGTACAAGTTAAGGTGGGCGAACAAAATAATTGTTATAAACTTTATAATAATGGATTGGTCCAATCATCAAATAAATAAATAAAGAGTATATCCCAAATGGATAATGCAAGATTGAGAATCGAATAATTGAGACAAAAAATAAAAATAGTAATCAATTAAATAATCATCTAAACAGTTTTTTTAAGATATGTTCAATAAATTTTCTTTCCTTCTCTTTTGACAAGGATACTTCACCATGGGCATGACCGCATGAGCTATGTGTTTTTTCCTAGTTGCTGTTTTTTCCTATAACCTATGTGTTTTCTACTTCACAGAAGCCTATACTCAAAGCATCGCTTAAAAAATGTAAAACACACTACTCATGATTTGTTGACAAGATGATTTTAACTTTCTGATGACACAACTCAAATCAAATGTGAAAGATCATTTCGTGAGATTTTTTCATGAGGAGAATGTATTGATCATGGGACGAAGAGTAATCGAATGTTTTGGCCGGGAAGGATGATCCCGACAGAGTTAATCGAAAAGACATCCCTACTAGTTCGTAAAGAAAGACTCAGTTACCAGAATGATAGCACAAAACACCGAAATCAGATTCATCAAATACAAAGGGTTTACATAATTATATCCAAAGTCGAAATAACAAATTTGCCATAGTAGCTAGTTCAACAAAATGTGGCTATTAGCCTTAACTTTTTAATCTCCTTCACTCTTTGTTGCTCTCCTTTTGCCTCTTCCATCTCCAATTCCCACCTGATAAACAATCCATTTATATTAAGTCACACATACTAACATATATGTACACGAAAACCATACTTTATATTCTCCAATTTTGGAAAACTAAATAAAGGAGGCAAGAACTGAAACTCTCCCATTGACTTAGCAAAAATGGATTTATGTATATACAAGTGTAGAGAAAGATAATGAAGGCCTAACTCAGGGATATTGACTAAACATGTATAAAGTCCAACTATTTCCAGATACTATAATTACAAACTGATTCTGAACTGGGAACAATCGATCATACCTGGTTACAAAAAGTCAATCAAACCGAGACAACGAGGCAATGCAAGAGCTGACATGATTCGGTGACGGTACGCAAATCATCAACCTTCTCAACAATTCCCCAAAGCTGACCTTCGTAACGCTTTACTATCGCGATTTCAGCGCACCAAATCTTCTTCGTATCATCAAGATCATGGCTCATATACCCTTGCCAAATAACTAAGAGTTTCCCACCACAGCCAATTAGTTTAGTCGTAAAACCACTTGAGCTACCATTTCTCATGTACATCTCTACTAGTGCATCTAACCCTTCCACCTCTTCCCAATAACCATTCATAATGTCACACCACAACAAACGCATGTTCCAAAATCCATATGAAATATTCCCCATCACGCATTCTGACTTCGAAAATATTGCCATTTCGTTTACACAGTGCTCCCATCCACATTGCTTCGTGTCATAACAATATACCTTATCATCTAAACCGCCGAACTTAATTTTCCCTTCGATCTCTCTGATTCCGTTAATGGGAGACTTACGTATCTCAGTACCCGGATCAGTGAGGCGTTCCCAAGTCTGAGTCTTTGTATCCAACACCTCAGCCCATGATTCGTCCTCTGATCCTTGGCACCCTCCCATGACATAGATTTTTCCATGGTGGAAACATGTGGCAGCGTTATTACGGGCTACATTCATGCTAGGTGCATCACGCCAAGTGTTACTGCAACAATCAATCACCCGCACGGCAGAAGACGGTGCATAGTCCACTGGTCCGCCAATTACATAAATTTCTGAACCAACAGCAATGGTTGATTCTGACACTGTTGGAAGATTAGAAGAGTAATTAAAAGTTACTGGAACCAGCAACTGTCCAGTTGTTTTATTATTCTTCTTAATCATGGAGTCGGGTCGGGTTCTATTAGGGTTGTTAAGCAAGAGTCTATACCATTGGTGAATGTGGAAACTGCTATCGTATAGACAGACGTAGAGCCACTGTTCGGTGTTTCCAATGTGTGATCGAGCTGCTTTGAGATCCGCGGAAGAGATAATTGAACGGAAGCTTTTGGAAACGATTGAGAGCGTTGGGTAATACGAACTCGAGATCCTGGCTAAGCAATCCACTAGGATTTCGTCTGGGAGCGAAGAAAAAGATGGACATGGTGATGAATAAGAAGGAGACATATTCGTAGTCTTCTTCTTACTCGTTCTCTTCCTCGTCCTCGTCCTCTTCCTCTTCCTCTTTCTCTTCTCCGGTGGTTCTACTTGGCTGTTCATAATAATTAACCTTATGGTTCTGTGTAAGATTGAAATTTTATATATATACTTTTTGGTTTATGTAATAGCAAAACAACCCCCCAATTATAAATAGCTTGTTAAAAGACCCCGAAATATTAGGTGAACTCAAAGATGGCATTGTCATCTAATTTTGTCTTTTTACCAATTTGCTCTCTACTTTTGATTTCGACCACAGAAGCCCCTGTGGACGCTCAAATTAATATAAACTTTTGCTAATTTCTCATTTGAGTTTCGAAGTTTCAATTTGATAGTTGTTGTAAAGACATTGTTGGAGCCGAAGAAGATTTTGTTGAGACTTCAAACATACATTATTTTCACCTGTGGAGATTCTTAACTGTAACATATCAAACATAAAGCTTTTATTTTACCTTAAACATAGAACTTTCAATCACTTACAGTGTTAAAGACACAACTTACTATTATTTCGTAAAGATGGTTTTAACTTTCAGAAGACACAACTCAACTTTATTCTTTGATGAGATGTTTTTCATTTGGAGAATCTGTGTCGATCATGAGGCGAAGTGTAGTCGATGTTTGGTCCTTGTGGGACAATTCCGAAAGGGTTAATCGACGGGTGGCTTCCATAGTAATGATGCTTGATGTGATTCATGTTCACCGTGCTACTCATTCCGGGGACCTGGAATATGTCTTTTGTGTAGTTGAACAGATTCGGATACTCCCTTAAGAGTTTCTTGTTGCATTTGAAGTGGACTGCATAAACCTGCATCAACGTTTCAACATTACAGTTTCGTTCGCTTATTTGTGTGTTTCTTTTTCTTGGTTTGAAAGCAGGGAATTCCAATCAATTACCTCGTCAAATCTTATAAGGGTGACAAACAATCTGATATCTGTTTCAGTCAAAGTGTTACCACAGATGTACCGATGTTTTCCAAGAATCTCCTCGCATCTATCTAATGCTTCATAAACTTGCTCAACTGCCTACATATAAGAACCATAGACTTTACATTCTCATGTGATCAATTAACATATACGGGATTATCTATTCATGGCTTCCATACTTACCTCCTCATAAGGTTCTTGTTTCTTTGCAAACCCGCATCTATAGACACCGTTATTTATCCCATTGTAGATCCATTCATTAGTTTCATCGATTTTTGCTTGGAGATGAGAAGGGTAAAGGTCAAGATCAGGATTTCCCGCAATATGATTGAACTCAGTGTTGAACATCCGGATTATTTCTGCACTCTCGTTGTTAACAACAGTTTTGAGCTTCTTATCCCACAGAACCTGACATAAAAACCGATAATAACTCCATCTAGTTCCGACTGAAAGAGACTTTAAAAGACACTGAGAAGCCAAAAAGACTTACAGGAACCGTATACTTTCCGGTGTAGTTCGGGCTAGCAATCTCATAGAGTTCTCTTACACTCTTAGCACCATTAAGATGGTCAGGATCAGCTCCTTGAACCTCAGAATCTGAACCCGGAAAGACCCATCCCATATGCTCATCAGTTTCTTTGGTTCTTCCCCAAATGGGTTTTACAGACTGATGGAAATCAAACAAAGAACGATTCAATCAATACGCTGCTACGAAATGGTATGATTCCACATGACAATAAGCAGTGTTAAAGGGTTGAGTCTACGCACCGAGAAGCTTATTGCATCGTCAAGTCCTTTGATCTTCAAGTATGAAAGGCATCTAGAAGCCCATGGACAAGCATACGATATGTAAAGATGGTATCTACCAGACTCAGCTGGAAACTGAGAATTTGAGTCTTTTGAAACGAAGTTCCGGAATGTCGATGCGGTTCGTTGAAAAGCTCCTGAATCTGATGTCTCATCTACCGCAGAGCGAGCCATTGATAGTGTACACTGATGAAAAAATCAAAAGCAGAGGACCAAACATAAGGTTGAGAAAAAGAGGTTCATGGGCAAAAACAGAACATCATAGTATATGGACCCAAGCGGATCAAAAGTTGGAAACTTTTTGAGAATTCTCAGAAATTGATGCATCATCGAAGCAATACGCAGATCAAACACAAACCCAGAAAACCTGTATCCAATACGAGTATGCACAGAGAGAATATGGAATTATGAATTCGAAAAAAGTGTACCTGAAGCTGAAGACGAGATCCACGAGTACTGAACTTTGTAGCGAGAGAGAGCAAGCTGTTGTTGCTAATGATTGTGGAATAAGACATCAACCAGGAGCTATATACATAAAAAGAGTCACCTGATGAGTTTAAATATACAGAGTCCCAAAGGCTACAGAGTCAATTATGGCGACGGAGTATGTCACTGCTTCTGTCACGCCCACCTGTGAATTTGGATGCTTTCGAAGGAAAATTCAATAAGTACACACCGTTGCATAATTGCTACTCATTAGTGTGTAATAAAAGATTAGGTTCACGTCTTGCTACTCATTAGTGTCTAGTCCCTGTTTAAAACTTTTAGAAAACCCACTTCTTTCTCAAATGGTTGCTACTTTTAGATTAACAAAAATTTTAATTATCAACTAACAAAATCAAACATTTCATGAAGAAAGCTTTAATTTTTTGACAATTTTATACTCGAATCACCCTCTGAAAGCATGTGTCGTTCAATATCTTGATAGATAGATTCACACCCATGTTTTGGTGATAAATCAAAATCCCATTTTCCGGTCTTTTGAATTTACTACCAGGCGAAAAACCCTAAATATATATTGATTCAGAATGCAGCAACAGCAACAGCAGCATTACATGTACCTGCCTCAACACAGTTACATTCCATGATCCCTTGATCCACAATGTGGATTAGCTATTCAAACAGAGAGCACAACACAACGGAGAGAGACATAATTACTTCTCTAGCCTACGCCTCTGGATATTCTCTCGGTCATATCAGCAACAAGGTTTTTCTTGCCAGACTCAGAACAAGCTGTAGTGAAAGCAGCTAAGGTTACACGATCAGCGCTACCATCTTTCTCCAACAATTTCTGGAAGAACAGAGCTGCCACGCCAACTTTCTTCTCGCTACACAACTTTCTCACAAGTGTCCTAACAGTTCTAATCCACAGTTTCTTATCTAAAGGTTCAAGCAGAATCATTGCGTTTGCTGAATCATTCCGCTTACAATACTCATATGCTAATGTGACTCGAGTTACCTCCGGAGGAGACAAACCTCTGTCAATCATTGCTTCATAAAGCTTACAAGCTTCATCTACCATGGACTTCTTGCAGAGACCGCTTATTAGTGAACCATAAGTGAAGCTATCAGGAACGCAACCATGCCTCTTCATGTTGTGAAAATATTTCAAAGCCAGATCCATGTCACCTTCCTTACAAAACCCACTAACCATGGACGTATATGTCTCCTTCGTTGGAACCAAGCCAAGACTCATCACTAATCGAAAAAGCCTCTCACTTTCCTTCATTTGCTTTTGCCTACAAAATGCAGCTATCAGTATGTTGTTGAGGCGCATATCTGCTTCAAAACCAGCCTTATTCATTCGACAGAAAAAAGCAAGAGCTTGCTTATTGTCACTTTGCTTACACTGTTCTTGAATAAGAATAGTGTAAGTAACTCCATCAGCTTCTAATCCACAAGAAAATGCTTTATTCAGCAACTCATATGCCTCCGGTGCCCTTGATTTCTTACAGAGACTATCGACAACCGCATTATACGTATAAATATTTGGCCTAAAACCTTCATCACCCATTAAATTCATCAACTCATATGCTCTATCAAAATTTCCAGCTTTACAGTGACCATCGATGAGCGTTGTATATGTGTTAACGTTAGGAAACAAATCCTGCTCTTTCATTCTGCTAAACAACATCTCTGCACGGTTCAACTTATCTTCTCTGCAATACCCACCAATCATCGAAGTATAAGTATGTACATTGGGTTTGTAATTATCACTACGAACAAGTTTCAGGAACAACCTAAACGCTTTCTCAGTCCATCCCCTTTTACATAGCCCATCAATTAAAGCGGTGTGTGTATACACATTTGGCTTCCAACCATTACTAACCATTTCCTCTAACATCTCAAAAGCCTGCTTGATACTCCCTTTCTTGCATAATCCATCAATCAAAGACGTAAAATTGATCAAGTTTGGCTTAAACCCTAAATCAATCATCTTACGGAAATACCAAATCGCTCTATTCACTAAACCATTCTCACATAGGGCAGTGAGGATCAAAGTACATGTAGCGTTATCAAGAATAAATCCTCTCTGGATCATCCCGGTTAACCACCTATCAGCTTCCTGAATCTTACCATCTCTAAAACAACCAATAACCATAAGCTTATAAGAACTAGAATCCGGACACACTCCTCTCACAGACATTTCGTCGAACACGTTCTCTGCATATTCCATCAAACCCGACTCAATTGCAATCTCAAGAACACAATTCAGAGTTATCGCGCTAGGTGTTAACCCCTGATTCTGCATATCCATAACCATACCAACAGCTTCATTCAATCTCCCAATCTCCGAGAAATTTCTAAGCATACACCGCATTACCTCATGAGCTTTCTGCAAATTTCCATTCGCAAGCAACGAATCAGCGGTGACGAGGTACAATCTCATGAAATGTCTGAACTTTTCGAAACCCACTGCCCAATAGAAGAAACAAAGAGCCACCATAGAACCAGCTTCGCTCGCGAGTGAAGCCACCACAGTGATGGCTTGCTCGTGGGTAAGAGAATTGGCATCGAAGTCGAGATTGACGCGGTGTGGGGATGATATTACATGGTTTTGACGAAGATATGAGTTGCAGACTAATGAACATACCGATTTAACGAGAGATTGAGAAGGCGAGGATGATGGAGAAGGAAGGGGAGACAAATCACTGGATTCGTGGTTGGAAGATATCAATCTGAAGAAGAAAACAGAGCAGAGAGAATTGGGTATCTCAGAAGGTCTAAGAAGGAACCGATTCGACTTACCAAGAAGAGACGCCATTGAAGCTTTAATGGCTTGTCCATAGAGAGAGAGAGAGACTCTTGCAAAAATTTCTCTTTATATTCTAAATGGTTTTTACAAAAAAGAAAAAATATAGTTTTATAATACATCGGAGCAACGGATACAACTATGGTCAAGAATCTTAGCCACAAGGCTCTCTGGTTCAGGGATCAGAGATGAAGTTGCGCTGTTCCAGAAATGGAACGTTAATGATTCATTGATGATCTTCTTGAACAATTCGCCTTGCTGCGATTTCTCATCTTCTGTTGTGGGATATGCAAAATAGCTGCTCCACCAAAATCAAAAAGAATATTTAAAGTTAGAAGCTTCCTCAAACAAAGATGGTTAAGGTCATGAACAAAGCCAGTGGAGAGGTTTACTTTGTTATCTGTTGTGGGCTGATTGGGAAGAATGCAGAGGAAGGTCGAATGTTAAGCTCCTGTTGAGTCATACGCCGATTCTTCCCGTTTAAAAACCGTTTCGCTACTCGTGTCAAGAGATTAGCTCCATTGCATCGCAAACACTTATCATCATAAGTTAAGTAGTATTCGTTCAAGCATTCAAGTAAGAACAGGCTGCAAAGAGAGGGAGGTAGTTAAAACATAAGGCAGAAACATTGGAGGTTACTAAGACAGAATTGATAGTGTTCTAATGTCGAAAAGCATTGATGTGTGTTTATGAACCTTTTCTTTTCAAATGACATAACTGCACCGTTTAACGATTCACCCGCTGCCTGATCCTCCAAGCCAAGAGTGTTTCTCAGGGATGACAATGAACCCACAACTATCACATCAGAATCGAGATAAACCCCACCATATCTGCATATATGTGCAAGATCACTAAGCGATAAGGGAATGCTCAATCAATCAATAAAGATTAGAGAGTGATCAAACTGTACTTGTAAAGAGCGGCAAGCCGAACGAGTTCACTGTAGTGAGTAGGATAAAACTTTGTTTTTCTCCAATCAAACCATACAGAAGCAAATACGTGAGTAGGAGTATTCTGCAACAACTCATCGAGGTTGGGCATTGCAACAGCAACTTTATAACTGCAAAAGATAAACAGATAAACGATTCAATCAAACTATAACTATTTGGACGAGTATGGAGGTAGCATTCTATGTTACTCACTAACCCGTCTTTCACAAAACTGTTTCGGAAGAAATCAAGCTCGACGGTCTCTGAGAAAACCACAACACAAGCATCTCGATGCTGAGAAAGTAAGCTCTCAAGCCCTCTTTGATGCCTAACGCTAAACATCCAACCAGGTGAGTTCCACACCATAAACACTCTCAGAGAGCACTTCTCCTTTCTAAAAAACGAATCCATAAAATCCGAAAACGACAAACTCAGTTCTATACCGGGATAATATCCCCACTTTGTACCATCTGCATACATATGTTCTGTAACCTCATCAAGCTTTCCCTCAGATTCCACAATACTCTGTTTCTTTGTCTCGATCTTCTTATCATCATCTAATGTCTTACGCTCACCTCTCTTGATCTCACCATTTCTCTCATCAACACTATTCTGCAACCTAATCCTTTCTCCACTCTCTCTAACTTCACTTGGTTCCTTCTTCTCTGAAACAACACTCAATGGCTTCTTTGCCATGAAAGGGTTTCTCTTAATCTGATTCAACCTCCATTTCTGCACAACCTTATCCCCTCTAGTCAATCCAGTGATCCCAACTCCATCAGGATCCTGCAACATTGGATTATTCAATGGATTCAACGTCTCTATATTCGACTTAAACATCCTATCTCTCCTCAAGAAATCACCTTTCTTATCAAACCAGTCTCCCCAACCTTCTCTCAATGGCGATACCTTCTTCCCCGATTTCAACAACAACGCATCTTCCACACTCGAAACCTCAACAACCTTCCTACGAATCGATTCGTCCAAAGGAATATCATCAGATCCAAATGCAGCTCTACTCTTATCTCCCAAATCCGAATCTATACTAAAACCTGCGTAATCGTAATCCCATTCATCTATAGATCGTTTATTAAAAGCTCTTCTGATAACTCCATTAACGTGATCAAAATAAAACCCAGAAGACGAAGACGAAGAAGAAGAAGAACCCTTGTTCCGATTAAGATCCACTTCTTGCTCTTGCTCCGCATCCTGATTCTCATCTTCCTCATTCGAAACGCCGTCGTCTTCGATCGCGTCGTCGTGCTCGTCGATTCTATCCTCTGTAGAAGTTGTAGATCCTCTTCCTCCTCCGGCGGTGGTTTCAACGACGTCGGAATCTGAGACGAGGAGAGATTCTGGGAACAAAACTGCATCTTCGCCGGAGCCGGAGCGGAGATGAGTCGGCGACTGAGATGAGAAGAGCGATAAACGAGTGTAGAGAAAGGAGACAGAAGCGAGAAGAAGAACGGCAGACATAGCGGCGCAAGCTTGTGCCCCGTGACGGGAACGGGAACGCCGTGATCTCAACATCTCCTCCGTCGGAATTTAACCGGCGTTCACCTTTAGAAAGAGAGAGTGTTTAACACTCTTTATTATATACATTTCCCGACATCATAAAAAATTGAAAAAAATCATTTTTTTTACTTTTGTCCATATAAATAGTAATTCCAGATTTTAACCGTGGTAGATTCTACTTTTTACTTTATTTTTATTGTTGCTCCTCTTGTTTGGGATGTTCTAAAATGTATTTACCTAGGCTCTCTTGAGACCTTTCAATACGAAGATGAAGTGTAAATCATTCATCGACTAAAGAATAAACTTGTTCAATCAAATTATATTTGATTTATGTTGTAGTCATATAAATTAATATTAAAAGTATTTTTTTTTTTCATAAGACCATATAAATCCTCCAGTTACATGGAATTCTTGAAGTAATTAACATTAGAGCTTTTCTTTATTACAGCATACATAAGGAGTGTATGTATGTTTTAACTAAGATTTTTGCAACTGTAGTCACAAGTGCAAAGTCTCACTTTGTCACCGCGACAAGTTGCAAATCCGGTGTTGTAAACTCGAAAGCACTCGTTTATTTTTATTTTTTGCTAAAACGCAAATATCATATATAATGAAATGTTTGGGGAAACCCATTACAAGCTGCTACCAAGGCAAAAAGGAAGAAAAACAAGATAGCAGTTACAGAAAGATACAGGGAAACCTAAGATTAGATTACAACCACAACTGCAAGAGTTTTTTAAAGCACTCGTTTATGCATGATTCAAGAATAGATCATATTCTTACGTAAATATATATCATAATTTACGTATTCTTGCGCAAGCTCCTTGCCCATGCCCCAGGTCCCTTATTATCCTCTCCATGCTCGGTGGCAGATCGTGAGCTTGAAGCCACGGAAGTGACGGAAGGGTTGCTTGGGAAGGTCTGGTCAATACTCGGCGTACCAGTTACGTGAGGTATCCTTGAAGCAACTGAAGTAAAGCTGGGAAAAGCCTTGTCAATATAACGAGCTTGGGAAAATGTAGTGACCTGGTCTCCACCTGAAGCATGCGATTGATTCCCGTAAAACACTACATCTATCTGAGGTGAAGCAACTGGGGAATAGTTAGTGGTTGCTTGACTGGAACTCGTAGACGCATTGGAAGGAAACCCACGGCCAACGGTAGATTGGTTATACCAACTAGGTTTAGCATTGGCTTTAGCGACGCTTTCGTCGTAGTGGCCGTAGCTTGTAGCAGCACTACTGTAGCTACCACGGCTACTGCTGGGTGATGACATTAATGATGGCTTAATGATTCGAAAACTGAGAGAGGATTGATTTTGTATTTCAAATCAAGCCATGCTAATGGCTCTTATAAAGGCGATTAAAAAGTTGACCAAGTCGTCTTGTAGTTTATAAATAAATACATGAACATGGAAGTTAATAAAATATCAAAATTGTCATTGCTGAGTCATCAACGATGAATATTTATACTTTATTAACACCCCTTTCTTGTGGTAATTGTTATCAGCGAAATTGCGTGGTAATTTCGTCACATACCAGTTTTTATATATATATATATATATAACAGCAATCATGTAAAGACTCAAATGAATCAAAACGGGGAAATATTGTTTTAATAAAGATACAGTTGCTGCTTAGCTCACACTTTGCGTACCAAAAAATCTGTTTTAACATTAGAACAACGAAAATTTTAATTAGAGAAAAGAACAAAAATATTACTTTATTTGTATCGCATACCGATTGGAATACGTGAAAAATAAGAAATTCATGTAGTTTTATGTTATCTTTAATGCAACCATAGAAAAAAATATTAACAAAACAAGAAACTCAGATTAGAAAAAAAAAGAGTCAGATTATATATATACTTAGTGGCAATTGGCACAAAAAATCAAGTAAATTCGAAGACTTTGGAGAACAAGAATCATTTTTTTTTTTGATTAAATGAATTCTCTTATTTATTTTAATAATATCATATACTGGGTGGTGTTTTGTGTAAATATAATAAGTTAAATCAAAATCTGAAATTTCGACATAATTATCCGTTTTTTTTTTTTTTTAAGTTCTAAACAAATAGGATGTCAAGTTGGCAACTGTGAGATTAGGTATATGCATGTACTGTATGTCGAATGAAACCAATGTTATACATATCTTGATATGCAAAACCATTTAAAAGTTTTCTTATTTTGTCATCGATTGTGTCGTTAAATACACCAACAACTTAAGTCTTAAGATAACATTTGTACATTTGTTAAATGTTTGCTTGATTTTTGATACAGTATATTCAAAGTATCAGAACTTTCTTGCGAACAACATAATGGTATTTAATGAACAGCTTAAAATATACGGTATTTAATTTCGTCATTGCTTCATGTAAAATTTGGAATGCGTCACTCATTACGTGTTTTTTTTTTATGAGAGCCGATTAAATAGTAGTAGTAGATAGACTTATAGATGTCTACCTTCTCCAGATATGGTAAATAGTTTTCAATTCACACAATTGCAATATAAAATTCGTGTCTTTCCGAATTTGAATAAGTAAAGGGCTAAAAGAGGCCACTTTTATTTTCTTACTTATTAAATTATAAAATGTTTTTGATAATAATATATTTAAAGGTATATTTTTCAATTATTTGCTCAACAAAACTAAATTTCATTAAATTTTATAAAATTCATGATTGAATGACATAAAAGTAAAAAAAAAAATTACAGCGCATTTAAAATACACCTCCTTAGTTGAAAATACATGGTACAAATAAATAATTTAGATTTGTCGAGAGATAACGTATCAGTTTTTTTATTAAAAGAATCCTCCAATAATATTATTCTGAAAATTTATCTTTAAAATTTGAAAGCTATATAGTACATGGTAGACTCATGAAGTCGGAAATTTAATAAGCAATATATGTAAGTCTTAGATTTAATGAGTTGTTATTACGGTCATATACAGAGTTTTTCCGATTTGATTTATAATTTCATAATTTAACAAACTTAATGACAATGGAAGCATGTTATATACTTGTAAAAGAAAATCAAAAGTATATTCGTCAACTGGAGTAAACTCCACCATATTTGACATGCGTGGTAGATGCTACTGTACTACCCTACCCCTATGCAAGACAAATCACCTTGAGGATGGTTCTGCTATTATGATGATCAGAAGACTATTTTATTCGATTATTACGCAATTCAAATCAAAGCAAACATATTACATTAGAAAAAGAAAAAAAACATATTACATTGCATATGTATATCGGGAAATGTTGAAACGTAAACAATTGGAACTAATTACGTAGATAATAATCTTAGCAAATAAATTACTTCGTCATATGGATTTTGTATAATATATCTACTTCCTCCATCCCCATCGGGGTTTAGTGTCGCTGTTTCCTGGTGGTAATGCATGAGCTTTTCCTTTGTTCAAAGGATCAGGTTGATCGTTGACTTTAACCGTTTGTAACTCATGGGGACGATCTCCATCCCAACGTGGCTGATCCTCAACTTGGGTAGTAACTCTTGAGACGCGCGATTTCCAATCCCAATGTGGTTGGTAATCATAGTAGCCATCGCGTGGTGGCTGTTCTTGACCACTCATATATGAGGCAGCGGACACGTAGCTAGGAAATGTCTCACCAATACTAGGCGGGTGTAATCCCATTGGTAAGCCTGAACCTAAGGAACCATAATGACCGATACTAAGACCCTGCGAATATCCAACGGTAAGGTAACCGCCTGAGACACGAGATGGATTTGGGTAAATAATTTGGCTTATGTAAGGCAAACCACCTTGGGGATAGTTGGGGGATGCGTAACTAGGATAGTTTGACATATATGATGGAAACATATCGCTAACCGAATACGGAGAAGCTGTTCGATGTCCGATAGAAGAAGCCGGAAGAGCAGGTGGTAGATGTGATCTTACCGGTAACTGTAAGGTAGAACTACTAGCAATACTATTGTAACTACGCCGGCTACTGCTGGTTGATGATTCAGACATTTAGGGTAAATGATTCGATAAATTTATAAAACTTTTTGACAACAATTATGGATTTTTTCTTTGGTATTTCACCTTAATTATATTTGTTGCATGCATGATCGATCCTTAAAAAGGCTGTAAAAAGTTGACCAAGGCGATTTTACTATAACAAAAATTGAACAAGTCGGTGTGTAGCACGTAAGCATGAAATTTACTCCCATTTATTTTAAATTCCTCGAAATATTTTATTTATAATATAGAAAGCGTATTAGAGACATGTATATATTCCTATAAATAGTTTTTCAAACAAAAACTCACTTATAAAAGCATTTTATTACATTGTGAAGTTTCTGATGTCATTGCTGACAAACTACGTATCAAAATTTCTTCGTTGCTGGGTCATGCCTGACAAATGTTGATTAAATAACAAATACGAATTAACACCCCCTTTCTGCGAAATCGTCTATATAATATAAAAAATACTAAGACCACTATTATCAATGGTCTATTAAGCAAAATTTAGTTTAAAAGAAATGGAATGTTAACAAATTTTAAGCTAAAATTTGCTTAAAAGACCATTAATAATGATGCCCTAAAAAACTAGATGATATCTCCAGCGGGTGTTAAATATTATTTAGTTTTGTAAAACTATCACATATAAGTAAGGGAAACACTAAGAAACAACATGAACAATTTGTAATTTATCTATACGTATTTGTATACACATGAACAATATTGTATAATTGCAAAATATATATATATCAAACCTTTTGGTGACTGCTTGCTTAGTCACGATTGGATCAGAAATATAGGAGTTGGTCACTGCTTCGTTATTTCCCTAGATCCTTTGTATAAATAGAGAAAATGTTTCTATTCTAGGGCATCGATCATTAATAACAAAAACCCTAGTTCTTCACTTGTTCTTTAGCAAACCCTAAATCGTTCATTTCTAGATCGAATCAATTCTTCTAAAATCCATTCTAATCGAGTTGTTGAGAGATTGTTCAAAGTGAATTTATTCTCCTTTCCTTAATAAATTTATTGTGTGAACCCTTAATTCAACAAATTTCAATGTAATTTCGTCTATAATGGACTTTGAATGAGTAAAACTTAAGAGACTTTGAAACTCCTGCAATTGTTTAAAATATCATCAATGAAATTTTATAACAACGACAAAAAAGAGCAGATAAAATATATTGCCAATATAAACTCTCATCCCAAATTTTTTAAATAAATCGTTTTGATGACATTTATGTCCCAAAAAGACAGATTAAGTTACTTCTCTATTTGTATATTTTTGTATTGCATGACCAACTATTTATCATATTAAAACTGATATTACATGCTCTTTCTTATACATTTCTGTTTTGCAGCTTGTGAAAAAAATAAAAAAATATCACGTATTATTGTCTTGAAAACACTCAGATGTACAAATAATCACTTTATTGTTATAAACGTATCTTGTACATCTGAATGTTGCGGAGAGAGTATGAGTGTTCGAAAATATATGTAGCTTAAAAGAAATGGGGTGACCTCCTCTGGTACATTTATGGTATAATCAAATCTGCATGGCTTTAACCACCTTTGATATAGCTCTTGTACAAAGACATAATGCTATGTTGAAAACACTCAGATGTACGATGTACAAACACATACTCCTTGAGATTACTCCTTCATGATCACTCTCTAACATACTCCTTAGATGATCTACAAAGGTGGTTAATGCCATAATTAGTCAAAAATATTATAAAAAAACATAGAGGAAATCACAACTTGACGACATATCCACATCTACGATACAATTGTAAATCCAAGGAGTATGTTAGAGCACCTCCATACTTTGAAAGGTTTTAATGTAGATATCTCACAATATAGAAAAAGAAAAACAATTAAAAAAAAAAAAAACAGAGAAAGTGAGAGGGTAATCTCATACATGGAGCTGTTCTTACATCCCAAACGCAATAAAAACAAGAACACAATTCGGGCAGATCGATTATAACTGCCAATTTATTATATAGAACAATACAAACACTTTAAAGTTAGACCCTTACAACTACACACTTGGAAATGGGAAAGTGGGAGTTGTGTTCCCAATTATTAACAAGCAGCAATTAAACGAGAAGACCAAGTCTCTACTTAATACCTATTGATAGATGAAACAAGAAAAATAAATAATTTTAACAACAAGTTCAGGTCTCATCATAGCACACATGGGTCAATGCAGCCGATGTTTATGGTGTTGAAAGAGGAACTTAGACCAATAGGCTGAGCGGAGTGTGTCAAACCAGAGCTGAACATGTAGCAAAGCAAAGGAGAAAGCTGTGATGGAAGCAAGTGAAATGATGAGGGCTAAATTCCATGCGAATCTCCGGTCATAAATCAAGAATAATGTCGCACAGAAAGCTATGACCATTGCGATTATGGAGACAAACAATGACAAAAGTCCCAACATTAGTCTAGAGGGTAATGACACCAGAAAATCATCCTCTGCATATCTTGACGTCAAGATTGACAAAAAAATTACTATAGATGTCGAGGAGGAACATAGCGCGACCGCATCTGATAGGATAAAGATATTAAACCATTTCCTATTCTGAAGGATAGGAAGTCCTATTTCCTCATTGTTCCCTCCTGGTACGGTAAAGGCCGCAGCAAAAACTACCGTTGCTATTAAAGTTGCTACAAGCATACATGAAGTTGCAGTATCTTTCATCCATTTCTCCCCTTCTTTTCTTAAGTCATTGTGCCCGTTAGTAAAGAGGTCTTGCGCCACTTTTCCTTCGCTATTCTTTGATTTGATGTATGAACGAGGTACAATCTTTTTCACAGCCTGAAATATGCGATAGATAATTAAAACTAAGGTTACAGAAATTATAGTGTTTCATTTTTGTAAATTAATTAACCACCTTGAACCAAAGAATTTCTCTTTGCATTTGGAGCGCAGCCCCTGATACAATATGTAGTCGATCATGAGAAGGTAAGCTGGCAACAAGATGCAACAAAGTATTCTTTGTGACTTTTTCTCGATAAGAAGCTATTAAATCCTTGATGGCTCCGAGTTCATAAATGATGTTGAAAATGCTTTCATGACGATTTAAAGCAGCAACATGAAACAAGCTTCGATTCTTTCCATCAACTTTCCATATCAAATCCGGATATGAACGAATGAGAATGACTAAGAACTCGACATTTCCAGATGATGCAGCATCGAAGAGTAGTCTTGTAGGGCTTCTCAATAAATCCGAAACTTCTCGATCAGATTTTTTAATAACCAAGTTCCACATATCCTCTACTAGCTTGTGAGCTAAGCTTTTCATTTTAGCTTCATGAAACATCACTTCAAACACTAAAGGCCACAAAACAAATCAAAAACATTGTTTGTTCGTACATGGATTTGAGATAAATATTTGAGAACAACTTACTCATCCAACTTACTTGAATTCCCTAACCGCTGAAAGATATTAAGATGTTTTCGGTGTCCGATAACAGAAGGCTTGCGAGCCAAAAGATGTAACCCGGTTTCCAGAGCACGGTTACGAGAAGTGGCTAGTACTTTGTCACTTTCCAACATACGCAAAGCTACATCTGCACAATCAAAATCAAAGCTAGCATCATCATACTTGATACCAAAATTTTAAACCTAAACCAATATGATCCTCAGTGAAAATTAGTTGTTTTACCATAAATGTCAGCAGATATGATGACATGAAAGAGATCTACAAGCTGCACCTCACTCAAACTTTTAAAATTTGTATGGCTACAAAGGTACATAACCATATCCCTGTGTCCAAACATAGCAGCCGTATGAAGCGGGATCAGTCCTTCATTACCTTGAATTAGGGGAAGATCCGGGTTCATATCTACCATCATTTTTGCTATTTCTTTAATCCCAGAAGCAGCAGCGAAACAAAGAGCCGTGTTGTTGCTCTGGTTTCTCAGTTCCAAATCATCTCTCTCCATTTTTGTAAGTAGATTCTTAACGAACTTTGTGTGTTTTGCAGCAACGGCTATATGAAGAGTCGTCTCCCAGTTACGGGTTATTGCTGCCCGGACGATACCTTCGTGCTGATCAATTATGAGACGAGCTTTTTCCCAGTCACCATTCATAGAAGCTTGATAAAGAGGAACACAGACATTGAGATATTCAGTTCTCCGTTCATCTGTGAAAGGGAAGACGTACATATTGAGATCGATACAGAGTTGCATCAAAAACATAATTATCATCATGATCATAAACCAAACCAGATAAATATGAAATATCTCGTGGATCTGAAGTCGAAACTTGATTGGGCAATGACGTGCTTGATCCTGAAATATCCACTGTTACACTTAAATCTGGCTGAGGTTGATTGTTACTCTCAGCCATAACACTTTAATTCTAGTTGAGCTATGAAGATCAAAATGAACTAATTACAAAACAGAAGATCTCGAGTTAAATAGTAAGAAAACTTAATTTATAAGGCAAGTGGAGGGAAAATGTTTCATCATTTTTTGCTTTTTATGTTTGTCGTTGTATCATTTGTAATTTAATTATATAAAAGTTGGTGAACGATCAGTTTTGAAAGAGTCTTTGGTAATTGTTTACACATTTTCTTGAGGAAAATTAGAAATATCAAATATGTATCTCTCTTAAACAAGTTTGAATTTAGTATTCAGAACTTTTGATTATTTTACTTTTCTCTAAAGATTTTAAACTACTAAACTTGTAGTTGACAAAGAAAAGGTTTAGCTTACTATTTGATAAATAATGCCATTTCTTAAATTTAGTTTTATCCTTTTTACCTGAGCTTTAATTCTTTTGTTTCTACTTATTAGTCTTTCCCCAGTTCCCTTCGATTAAGTAAGGGTGAGTGACCTCATTCTGAGAGAGACAGGGTAGCGTTGGATGGAAACAGAGTATTCCTGTTAAATTGACGAGATGGAACAAGGAAAAGCATCGTCAAAGAAATATATATGGCAAACTTAACTAATTATACATTACGTGTCTCGATCGTCAGATCCATAAAAAGATGAGAAGAAAGCTTACGGCCAGCGATAAACAACGTATTCTTCCAATACTTTTAACCACAAAACAGATTCTCGTTAATTAAGTTTAGAGGGGCAAAAACACAATTTAAGGAGGAGACAAAAGGACTTTTAGGGCGACGTACGATCAAAGAGAGAATGACCTAAATTTATTAAAACTCTGTCGTAAAATTGTTAAATACTACACAAATAATCATAGCAAGCTTACAAAAATTAATTATTAGTATGCGAAATCTGATTGGCATTACTTTTACAACATTTACTCATCAGTCTACCGTTTAAACATGGTTAAATTTTTTACTAAATCCGTCAATAATATACGTTTCATATAATTATAAGAAAAAAGAATTACTAACGAGTATGAGTACAAGTAGTCAAATACGGATACGTTTAGTGTTTTTGTCAAGATACATGCACATGCAGCCATGCATACTTGCATAGCATTACTTTAGTTTATTAAGCTCTTTTACTAAAATACACTTAACATCGTCATCAACGGACAAGGGCATTATTAGCTGGTAAGGTTTAATTATTAAACTATGAACATATGAATAAGAAACTTGGAAATTAAAAAAAAGGAGAGACTTAACGATAGAAAAAGATATAGATTGTGTACACATCATATAGCATTAAAGGAAAAACAAGAGCTCATCGGTCGTTTGGATTATGGCATACGTTGAGAATCACGTGTCATCTCCGTAACCCATCAGTTCTGCATCAATCGGAGACTATGCCGGACGACAAACAACAACAGAACAGCTAGATACCAACGTGGGCTAATGAAGAATCCCGAATCCAGGAAAACATACATAGGAACAAAGTAAAAACATAAAGCCGCAACGATTGAAGCAGAAAGAAGCTCTGCCAAGACTTCTTCCCCAATCGTTTGTTTTGCCGATATATAAGGTATGTTCTTCTTAATTCCCCGAATGATCGCCTCCACAAGATCGCTATCGTTGCTGTCAATGAAGATTAGAGCCAGTTAGAGATATTTCACATTGGAAGTGATATGAAAGACATGGACCAATCTTTTCATTTTTAATATGAGTTAAAAAAAAAAACTATAGTATTTACGTTTATAACAGAACAAGAAGACTTCAATGTTGTTTTACCTATAGTATCCTGAAGTGAAGCCAGGCTGTCTAGCAATAGACCTAAGACATCCAACGATGTGATGGGTCAACTGATGATTCTGCCTCCCTTGTCTCCTCATCGTTTCGTCAAAACATTTACCGAATCTTCCCTCCAAATTGTTAACTTCTTCAATGTTCACTTTGTAGAAGATTGGGATCACCATGAGTTTCCCGTCCGTCACGCGCTCATGGATCTTGGTCAGCTCATTCAAGCACTGTTGTGACTCTGCGTATTTGTCAGAGAATATCACAAGTGCGAGTTTGGAATTGTGGATCCTCCTGACGAAGAGTTGGTCATGATGATGAGGGCCTCTCCTTTCCCATTGATCATCGCTATCTACGAAAACGTTGACCCGTGCTTCCTTTAAGGCTTTCACGACATGGCTGACAAATCCTTTGCGGAGGTCGTCGTTTCCTTGAAAACTGATAAATATCTGAGGGAGTGGTCGACGTCGGAAATTTGGCATCGTCATAAACGGAGTTTGAACAACTAAATTTTATAATGTGGTGATTAAAATTAGTGGCAACCTTTGCGACTTGTAGAGCCTTATATAGTCCAGGTTTCATTAAAAAAGAACAGAGACTTCCATTATTATTTTTCTCATGCATACGTTCATGCTGATGACTTTGAATTATGAATTAGACTTCTTTTTTTTTTTGGTTACAATTATGTTTTCATATTTTGAAGTGGGATTCCATTTTCTCTTTAATTACTATCCAGATTACTTGCAAAATTTTCATAATTTTAAAATGTGATTTCACTATTTAACATGGACGTGCTAAAACATAATTATTTCAATTTAAATGATGTTTAAGATTTTGGCACACCAAATAACAAAACATATAATTTACCAATTTACCATTAAAAATCATTAACTAATATGAATTCAAACAATAAGAAAATGTAATATAAAATATTATTGTTTAACAAATATTAAATGTTTCCATAGAAAATTAAAAATATCATTTATAAAGAAACAATTTTTTTTGGCTAAACATCATTTAAAAAAAATGGAAGGAGTATTTTTTTTTTCTTAGCTAGGCATCAGGATTCTTATTTTATAGAGCCTTGTGAAGAATCAATTCAATAAATTAAATGACCAAGATTCTTAACTTTAAAAGTCCAATGTTCAATCTCATTTAGCTAGCCTCTCACTCACATCTTTTAATTTAATCGCTAGTCCATCTATACAGTGGTAGTGGTTGTAGATTCTTCAATTAAATCCCATAATTAAAGAAGGTAAACATATATATACATAAAATAAAATAAAGGAATAGGTAATATAATATTTGAGAACATTAAGATCAACATCGCAGTTGGTAACACTAACCATTAGAATATTTGGACCAATCCATCTACCGCAGTCTATACGGTACACCCATACAAAAGTCATATGGAAATGTGAATCTTATCTATACTCAAATCACATGTCATCACTCATCAAAGGAGATGGTGGCTAATTAGTTATATATAGAAAATAACAACAAAAACTAACAGAACGAAATGTTCATATTTCAACGAAGAATCATGATTTTTTACAGGGACGGTGCATGCAACATAAAAGTACAGAGACACTGAAGCAAACCACACAGTAGGGAGGAAGAGATAATGAGTATACACATCAGCTCTCCAAATACAAGATAATCTTCCTTATGACAAACATCATCACGACAACCAAATACCACTCCGGGCTGGCAAAGAATTTCAAATCAGTGAAAAGAGTAGGTATTAGAAAATAACATATGCAAGAAACAATTGCAGCCGAGAGAAGCTCTCTTATAAATTCACGCTCAAGTGCTTTGCTTGCTGGTGACTGATATGGTAGCTGTCTCTTTATGGCCTTAACAATCTCCTCCACAAGATCGTTATCAATACTGCCATAGAAACAACCAAATCACTCCATTTTTGTTTTATTTTTGTGAACCAATATGATGAAAAAGTAAGGACGAATAGTTAGTACCTATGAACTTCTGAGGTGAAGCCTGTCATATTCGCAATGAACCTAACAGAGTTCATCCAACGCACACCTAATGGATGATCCACGCCCCCTCCTTTCTCCAAAGTTTCGACAAAGCACTCCCCAAATTTTCCCTCGAGCATTTTCACGTCATCAGTTCTCACCCTATAGAAGACAGGGATGGCTACGAGACACCCTGCCCTTACTTGCTCAGCTATCTTCGTTGCCTCGCGCAAGCACCACTCTGATTCTGCAAACCTTTCAGAGAAGATCACAAGCGCCACCTTTGAGCATTCGATCCTCCTTAAAAGGATTCTGATGTCTCTCCCTCTCACCTCATGGCTATCTATGAAAACGTTGACCCCTGCCTCTTTTAAGGCCCTCACCACATGGCTGACGAAGCTGTTCCGTAACTCCTCCCCCCTAAAACTGACAAACAGTCGTGGGAGTGGTTTGCGTCTGAACTGATCCAAGAACGCTAATGGTCCAGTCTGCCTCTCCATGGGGTCTTGACTCAGATATGGGTTGATGTGCTTTTGCTAGATTCTTGAAATAAGATAAATGATTGTTGAAGAGAGATTGTGAGCCTTCCAAGTCTTAATTAGTTTTCTATAGAAGAACCTTCATAATTTTATTTTTATTGCGTAAGTTAACGCTAATGGTGATGTGATTTAGAATATATATATTCACCACTTGATATATTTGGTATCATATAACAAAGCTAGCCTTAGATATATGAAATAAATAAAGAGTTAAAAAAGGTGTTGAAACAAAGCACCCTTGGTTTTAGACATTCAAAATTCAGAGACACTTATTGGTGTGAGTAATATGATAATTTTTAATTCAAAATCAATTGATATGTCAATAGATTTTGCTGATAACAAAGTAATGCATTGCTTCCAACAACACTAATTGAACAGATGAACAAACAAACAAAATCTAAACATAACACCAAAGTCAACATCTGAGTTGGTACGTGGTAAACACCAAACGATTAAAATATGTATTATTATTTGGACCAATCCACGTAAAGGCACCGGAGTTACCATATGACCTAAGTCTTTATTTAATAATTTACACAAATTTGTCCATAAGGAAAACGTCATATATGGCCAGCATATTTTCCTATGTCTTACGTGAGACATGGATAAGGAGAATAAATAGTTTACAATTGAAAGCGGAATATACTAAACTTACTTTAGATCAAGTTAACTCTTTAATCAAACCGTTAGTTGGTTCAGACTAAGATATAAGATATAGTTTATAATGTTCTTAAAAAAATAACACAGTATGTTTAAATGAAAAAGGAAAACTGAGTACCTAAAGATAAATATTCGGACATATCTTTTTATAAAAAAAGAGTGGCTTGAAGAAAAAGAATATAATTTGCTGACATAAAAAGAGAAGGAGAAGGAATTATGTGGTTTCGATTTGAATTATGATTAGGGAATGAAATTATATAGGGATTTGGAAATCAATATAAACAGATATAAATAAGTTTGTGATGCTAACAAAATTTTACGATCGCATAACACAATCTATGACTTTTTCTTTCGACCTAGCCGTCATCCTCCAGCATGGGAGAAGAACAATGAAGAGGAGATCGAAGAAGGAAAGAAGACGAACACGACGACCACCAAGAGACATACGAAAGTGCCACGAACCGATGCCGGAGATTCCTTTCGATCTCGTGATCGAGATTCTTACAAGACTTCCTGCTAAATCCCTTATGAGGTTCAAATCCGTCTCAAATCTCTGGTCATCCTTAGTTTGTTCTCGATATTTTAGCAACCGTCTGCTGAAGTCGTCCACACCACGTCTATTTATGTATTTGAGCTTCTACGACAACAGTCACCTCAAAGGTGTACTACTATCATTGTCACCTTCTCCTGACTCTGACATTACAAGTACTACGTCTTCCTTTGTAATAGACCAAGAGTTGGCCCTTTCGGCAATGGAAAGCTACCACGTGTCTAACGTTTTTCGCGGCTTGATGTGCTTTGTAAATAGGCAACGTGTCCAAATATACAACACTACCACTAGACAACTTGTCGTCTTACCTCAAATAGAAGAATCCAACATCATAGCAGAAGATCACGACCTTACGAGTTTCAAGTACTCTCTTGTACATGATCCTGTTTATAATCAATATAAAGTTGTTTGCATAGTTGCAAGACCCAGAGACGGTGTTGAACGGTTCACGACGTACCTGTCAGAGCATTGGGTCTTTCTACTAGGAGGAGAGGGACCAAGTCGATGGAAAAAGATATCATGCAATGCTCCCCCACATCTTCCTTTAAGAGAAGGGTTGACTATCAATGGTCGTATGTATTACCTAGCTTGGGTTGTTCACTGTGTGCTTGTGATATTCGATACTAATTCTGAAGAAACTAGTATGCTCCAAGTACCTAAGAATATGTTTTGCATTGATACTGGTCTTATAGAATACGGTGGCAAAATAGCTCTTTTACACTATACCAATCTCCAAAGCGAAGGTGAGATGGAACTATGGGTTCTGGAAGATGCGGAGAAGAATATCTGGAGGAGTAAGATTTTGGTGGTGCATCCTTCCCAATTAGATATGGTCAAGAGCATTAGTACTCTGAGGGTACAAGGTACAACTCGAAACGGCGAAGTTATCTTGGTACCTATAAATACAAATCTTTTCAACATTTTTCTCTATGATTTACAAAAGAATCATATAAGAAAAATAGAAATCGAGGGAAGACCAAACCGCCATCTTACCGCATTTTGTGAAGTCGTTGGATTAGATGATGTTGAGAACTTAATGTATATTTAAGTTACGTTCATTAGCTAGTGTGCTACTTTGCTTTCTTATTATAGATGTTTATCATGCTACCTAATTCAACTAGGAAGAATTCGAAAAGATATCAAAAAAGTTTGCTAAAACAGTAACAAAGAACCACAAAGATATCGACTAGAATATTTGAGTTTCAGCCACTAAAGACATTTCACCTTAGGGACTTCTATTAGTTAATTAGTGTTGCATTTCTCCCAAGACCGTTAAAAAAAAAACTGAAGTGTAGATCTTGAGGTAGCGAAATTAATACATACAGCTGAAGGTGTTATTATCAAAATTCAAAGCTAATCTTTCCGCTTGACTTTTCACACGTCTAGGAAGAGACTTCTGAAAATTCCATTACCTTTAAAAAAAAATTAGATAAGCAATTAGTAAACATATTTGAGATTTGCTTCAATATTTTGTCCTTCGGCAGCCGAACAATATATGTTCTGATGTGTCCAGAGCTTGCATAACTCATGTATCTTCAAAAAAACAATGTGCTACGATGTTCCTTACCGACTGTGTACAAAGACATGTCATGCATCCTCAACTTGGCTGTCAGAATAGCGAAAGATTGTTCGATTCGGTCTGATGCATATTAATAAAGGAGTAACAATTACGAAACTCTGTATTTATTCTCTCTTTTATATACAATATACAAATAATTAACCGTCAAATTTACAAATAGAAGTAGAAAGTTGCTAGACGAAATAGGCAGGGAAAATTTTGTTAAGTAGAAAATTTATTTATTTAAAATTTATTGAAGGAATCGTTTTTTTTAAGGGAGGATAAGTGTGTATATAAGTTAAAATATGGCCTTTTCTTTTGACCTAGCCGTCATCTTCCACCGGGAGAGAAGAATGAAGAAGAGATCAACAATAATAAAGAGAAGAAGAAGACCAAGAGACATGTGCAAGAGCCATGAACCGATGCCAGAGATTCCTTTCGATCTCGTGATAGAGATTCTAACAAGACTTCCTGCTAAGTCCCTTATGAGATTCAAAGCCGTCTCAAAGCTCTGGTCATCCTTGATTTGTTCCCCAACTTTCACCAACCGTTTGCTAAAGGTTCCTTCATCCACACTACGTCTATACGTGACTTCGTGCTTCTTGGATAACAGCCACCTCAAAAGTAAATTACTATCATCGTCGTCTTGTCCTAGCTCGGACATTACTACTATATCTTCCTTTGTAATAGACGAAGATTTGACCATTCCAGCGATGATAGGCTACTACATGGCTCATGTTTTTCGCGGCTTGATGCTCTTTGTGAAAGAGCCAAGTACGAAAATATATAACACCACAACTAGACAACTTATTGTCTTACCTGACATAGAAGAATCTAACGTCATAGTTGAAGAGCACAAGAATAAGAAGTTCATGTACCGTATTGGACACGATCCTGCTCATGATCAATATAAAGTGGTTTGTATAGTTGCAAGACCTAGTGACGAATTTGGAGAGCTCAAACCGTTCCTGTCAGAGCATTGGGTCTTCATACTAGGAGGAAATGAATTAAGTCGATGGAGAAAAATTACATGCCGAACTCCACATCTTCCTGTAACACAAATAATAAATATCAATGAGCGTATGCATTATCTCGCTTGGGTACGGCTGCTTTGTCCTATGCTTGTGAGTTTCGACTTTAGCTCTGAAAAAATCAGTTTGCTTCAAGCACCCGAAGATATTAGTGTGTTTGATTATGATCCTATAGAATACTATGGAAGAGTAGCTCTTTTTGAATGTTCCGGTCTTGGAAGGGAAGGTATGATGAACCTATGGGTTATGGGAGATGGAGAGAAGAATATATGGTCGAAGAAGACTTTGGTGGTGCATCCTTCTCAAATGGATATAGTCAATAGCATTAGTTTGAGGGTACAAGGTACAACTAGAAACAATGAGGTTATATTAGTACCTCAAAATTTAAAGTATACTCGAACCGGCGAGGTTATCGTGGAACCTCAAAATACAACTCTTTTATACATTTTTCTCTATGATCTACAAAAGAGTCTGATCAGAAAAGTTGAAATCAAGGAAACACCATATCATACTACGATTTGGGATGTTGTTGGACTAGATGATGTTGAGAACTTCATGTCTCTGTAAGTTCGTCTAGCTTGAGTGTGTCTGTTTTTCTTTAATCTTTTTTTAAAAAACATTTTATTTAGTTCTTAGATGATTAAAGAAATTGATGAAAAATATTTTTTCTTCTTTAAGATAAAAGGCATCTTCAAGATAGTTGAACCATCAAAATTTGAAACCCTTCATATTTGACCCATTACTGTTAGGACAATACTTGGTGAACCTATTTGTTTACCTCTTATTATCCTAACCAATAAAAACATAGTATTATGTTATGTCAGACAATATTTAAAATTGAATAAAAATTAAAATCACAATAACAGAACAGATTATAAAAACAAAATATGTATATATATACATATATTCACTATTTTATAAACCTAAACCGATATATAATTTCATTTTAATTGTAAAATTTTAACCCTAGCCACTTTTTATATAACTCAAACCAACATATAGTTTTGTTTTAATTGTACAATTTAAACATGAACCATTCTTTTATAAACCTAAATTGACATATAATTTCGTTTTAATCGTAAAATCTAAATTTTAACCATTCATTATAAACCCAAACCGACATATAATTTTTTTTTAATTATAAAATCTAAACCTTAAGCCTCATAAACCCAAACTAATCTTTAATTGTAAAATCTAAAACTCAAACTAATATATAACTATGTTTAATTAAAATAATACATATTTTGTTTCATTAATCTGTTTTTTTTAACTTCTGATTTTAATTTATTTTTAACATAGTATGACGTGGCATAATCCTATAGGTTTATTGGTTATGGTTATAAGAGGTGATCAACCTAAGTATTGTTTACAGGAAAAATATATAAATTGAATTTTGTACATATATATTTAAAAAAAGGAAAAAAAAAATATTTTTCGATAATGATCAAGGAATGGGGATTAAGGTTTATCAAGGATTTCGGAAAATACAATATTTATGTAAATTCTTTCGACCTAGCTCGCCATCATCATCCAGCGAGAGAGGAGAAGAATGAAGAGGACATCGACGGTGATTAAAAGAATAAGAAGAAGAAGAAGAAGAAGAGACATGTGCAAGAGCCACAAACCAATGCCGGAGATTCCTTTTGATCTCGTTATAGAGATTCTCACTAAACTTTCTGCTAAACCCCTTATGAGGTTCAAATCAGTCTCGAAGCTATGGTCATCCTTAATTTGTTCTCGATATTTTAGCAACCGTCTGCTAAAGTTATCGTCCACACCTCGTCTACTTATGTTTATGGGCTTCTCCGACAACAGTCACCTCAAAGTCAAAGATGTACTAGTATCATTGTCGCCTTCTCCTGACTCTGACATTACAAGTACTACGTCTTCCTTTGTAATAGACCAAGATTTGACCCTCCCGGCGATGAAAGGCTACTACATCTCTCACGTTTTTAGCGGCTTAATGTGCTTTGCAAATAAGCTAAGTGTCCAAATATACAACACTACCACTAGACAATTTGTTGTCTTACCTCAAATAGAAGACTCCAACATCATAGCTGAAGATCACAAACTTACGAAGATCATGTACTATACTGGACATGATCCAGTTTATAATCAGTATAAATTGGTTTGCACAGTTGCAAGACCCAGTGACGATGTTGAAGAGTGCACGTACCTGTCAGAGCATTGGGTCTTTCTACTAGGAGGAGAGGGATCAAGTCGATGGAAAAAGATATCATGCAATTCTCCCCCACATCTTCCTTTGAGTGAAGGATTGTCTATCAATGGTCGTATGTACTATCTCGCTTGGGTTCGTTTGCTTCACTGTGTGCTTGTGATTTTCGATATTAATTCTGAAGAAACTAGTATGCTCGAAGTACCTAATGATATATATTGGCGTGATACTGGTCTTATCGAATACGGTGGCAAAATAGCCCTTTTACACTATACCGATCTTGAAAACGAAGGCGTGATAGAACTCTGGGTTCTCGAAGATGCGGAGAATAATATGTGGAGGAGTAAGATTTTAGTGGTTCATCCTTCCCAATTAGCTATGGTCGATGGCATTAGTTTGAGGGTACAGGGTACAACTCGAAACGGCGAAGTTATCTTGGTACCTGAAGCAAATCTTTTCAACATTTTTCTCTATGATCTACAAAAGAATCATATAAGAAAAATTGAAATCAACGGAGGACCAAACAGCCATCTTACCAAAATTTCTGAAGTCGTTGGATTAGCTGATGTTGAGAACTTAATGTATATTTAAGTTCACTGGCTAGTGTGTTACTTTGTTTTCTTATTATAGACGTTTGTTATGCTACCTAATTCAACTGGAAAGAATTTTAAAAGCTATTATAATAGTTTACTTAAACAGTAGCAAAGGACCACGAAGAGACACAATTACCCAAATCGACTAGAATCTTTGCGATGAAGCCCGTCACTCACACGTCTATGAAGAGACCTTTTACGATCTACATGTCCTTCAGCACGTTAGTGTCCTGATGTTCCTTACCGACAGGGTCATGCATCCCCAAATTGGCTGTCAGAAGTACAGTTAAGGAACCAATCTCTGAAGACTCAAAATTACGTGAATCCAACATATATCTTATATAACTTGCAGTCTCTGATATGAAGAAACAAGGGAGATCAAGAAATGAATCTTTTTGCTTCTCAGTGACTTCATTGCATCTTCCCCTTAGGCCTTAATCCATTTTGGATTTTCTTATATAAACTTTTGGCTTAAGTGTTCCCACTCTCTGTTCCCAGTCAGCCTCCTCTTCGCCAAAAATCTCCACACGCAATTTCTGGACAACCTCAGTGAATTTCCCTCTGGAGCAGAAACGTTATGACCCAAGGGATGATAAGTGAAGCAACTAAAACCATCTCTTTCATTCATTCTGGGGACTACATAAGTATCCTTGAGTAAATTCTGGAGCAGTTACTTATCGCTCGTTGTGATAAAGAACTTGCTTTATCCAAGTCATCAAGAACAGCAAAAGCTTTCTGTTTGAGTATCTCATCCTTCCAAGACTCATGTGCAATCACTGTAAATTCAATGTTTGGATGAGCTTCCTTCAATAGCTCTTCCAAAATTCTCTTTAACATCTTACTTCTGCTGAAAGAGAGATTTATACTGTACCGAAGCATCAGATACAACAATAATCGAGGAACTTTTAGGCACGAGGCTCTCATGCTCAGGGATCAGAAATAACATTACGCTGTTCCAGAACTGATGTGTTGGTGTTACTCATTAACCTGTCTTTTACAAAGCTGTTTGGGAAGAAATCAAACTCGATTGTCTCTGAGAAATGAGAATACTACATATTTATTCTACTTTTAACCCCAAAGGTTTCAGGTTTATTAAAAGCTCCTAAACTTTGATGGCTAACGATAGAGATCACTGATCTTTTTGTTAGAAACACACGTCAATAATGTTTGATAACTCTAATTTCTAAAAATGTAATCCTAGTTTCAATGATCTGATATGTTAGAAGCACTAAAATCCAAACACAACATTGTAAAGCAAGTTCATGTTCATTTGGTGGACCCTTTTAAGTAAAAAGACACCACCATCAGAGTCTACATAAGCAAAGTAGAAGCAATAAAAATCCTTAAACCTTCATCAATCAATCAAGCAACCAAATTTCAGAAATTAGACAATAAAAGAGCACAAGCATCAGAGAATCTACAGACCTTTCAATGTTTTATCCATAACAAATAGTTTTTATGTGTCTAAGAACACAAGTGATAAGAGAGTTATGTGGAGGAACACAATTGACTAAGGAAAGTGTTTTCAGTGGAAAACACAGTTGTAAAGAGAGAGCCGTGTGATTTCTGTGGAAACCAAGCTGAAAAGAGAAGAGTGTTTTTCCTCTGGGAACACTATGGAATCAGTACTGCTTAAAATTTGTTTTCTGGCCGGTTGTGTTATTAACTCCAGACGTTTGCTGTACAAAGAGAGAAAGTTGTCAGACACAGAACATTAAACTCATCACATGTTGTAAACACACAAACACAAACAATGAAAACTTACCAAGTAGGCTTGTTCGTCACGGGTTAAAGCACGTCGTCCAGACTCAAATCCTAGCCATTTCACATAATTTTTCCTGTCTTTGTTGGTCCAGTCAAACGTGTAATTCAGATCAGGGCACTGATACGGATTCCTTGCAAAATTCTTACGTTGACCCTTACGCTCATCTTTGAATTTCTTGTTTGGACTCTGAAATATTTCTTCTGGTGGATCATCATCAGAATTCGGGTCTTCGCCTTTACCATTTTCATTTTCACCTATCACTAAGCCCTTAGAAGATACCGATTTCCTCTTACCACCTGCAGAACCTGTCGAAGCTTTCACCAAACCAGAAGAAGAAACAGGATTCTTCTTACCATTTCCAAAACCTGAAGCAACAGCATTCTTGGTATCTGTTGAACATATTTACACATCAGTAAATCAAGTTAACAAACGTATGCAACATTAGGTGTAAGAGAAGCTAACCAAATAGGACTAGTTTAATCCTTTGATATATATTTGAACTCTAAAGCTTGATAACATAGCAATAAGCCAATAAGCAATAACAGATGGCAAATCATGAAAATTGTTAAATGTTCCTGCAATTGAAAACTCTGATCTAATAATGAACCAATATCAACAACCAACACTGAGCTGATCAATATCAATCACTTTTATGACATCTTTAATAAACGAAACTAACACTTGACTGCATCAAAATCTAGTAGAATCTCTAAAAGGAACACCATAGTCTGATCCAAACCAAGAACAACAGTCAAGATCTAACAAAACAATTCATCTAACTCCAAATTAACTCAGATAAGAGTACAATCAATCTCACTTAATAGCAAATTTGAACTCCAAAATCTAAAGGCACAGCTATATAATCATCAAACAAACTCAGATCAACCAAAATTAACTAGCATAAAGTTGAATTATGAGATGCATCAAATTCTTGGTATGTTCGAACCAAATACACCAATCACTGGGATCATGATCCATTGATCTCTACCATAAAATCAGAATTAAACAAGAAAACGATTGACCTCATCACTTCATTGTAGCAAAATCAAGTATCATAACAAAGAAGATCATACCAGTTTTTGGTGCATTAGGAGAAGCAGCAACTTTCTTAACTGTGGATGAAGCAGAGGCTGAAAGAACATCATGCAAAGAGTATCATTAGCTTAAGAAAAACAGGCTTGAGTAACACTCAAAATCTAAAGATGATCATATAAATTTGATATGAGATGCATCAAATGAGAGTATGTTCAAATCAAATATATCAAACCACTGAGTTCACAATCCATTGATCTCTACCTTAGTATGTTCCAAATCGTCACAGATTCTTCATAATCACAGTAAACAAACCTCAAAACCAGAAGCTTGATCAAAAACAGACGAAATCAAATGTAATCACCTAATCAAACACTAAATTTGACAAATGAACAAAACCTAAACAAAACGAGCATGAATCAAAAAGCGTAATCGTTCCAAATCATCACATAACGATCGAAATCACAGGTCTGAATCTTCGATGAAACAAAAATAGAAACAAATTCGAATCCAAAAACTAGAAACAGATTCGACTATCCCAAATCAATTTCATCTTCAACAAGTAATCGACAACCAAAAACGAGCTCGATCAAAAACAAAAGGAGCTTGAATCTAAGCTTAATCCAAGTTTATCTTAGAATCCAACTCTAAAATTTGAAAATAGAACCAAAGGAGCTTGAATCTAAGCTTAATCACTCGATATCTGAGGCGAAATCAGATTCACCAAGCGATCGAACAACCAAAATCAAACCAAATTCGAAAATGAAGATCAATCAAGGAGAGATAAATCAAAATACCAGATGAAAGTGGAGGTGAATCCGTTTTTGTTTTCCCTTTCTCCATAGCTCAATCAAGTTTCAGAAGAATCTAGAGAAGAGAGGTTGTGATGGATTCGAAATTCGAATTTGAGAAAACAGAGAAAATGGAGAAGAAGACGTAATATTTTGTGAGCGGGAAGAGACTTAAGCATTAAAACAACACAGTACCCGTTTATATATTATTTTATGTACCAGTTTATGTAAAATACATAATTGCCATGGTGGCTATATAAGCTAGCTGATCTAGTTGTCCCACCCCAGTTCGACTCCCACCTATGACATATTAAGTAAAATTAAATATTAGCCATATTATTAATTTTTTTTATATAAGCTTCAACAGTTTTTTAACTCTTCAGTTTTACTTTATCTGCTGCGAGTGTCGTAGTGTTATGTGTAAGGTTCTTTTGTTTTTTTCTAAATTCTAGCATTTGAAATTTTTAACAGAAAAGAAAAAGATATATATAAAACAAGTAATCACAATTTTGAGTCTTAAAGATGGGATATGATTTTTTTATTATTATTGCTTTCAATGTCTACGTTATTGCTTTCAAGTTTTATAAATTAATCAATGCATATTCATTGAGATAATTAGCCATATCTTAGAACTTTAAGATCAGCGTACTTAATTCACAAAAAGTAAACATAGAATCATTATATTTTGATGGTGAAAATTTTATATATAATCTGACATTAGTGATCTTTTCCATATGATTATCAAATCATTACATATCAGAAACATTCATTCATAAACCCTTAGTTCTAGCAAGTAAGAATCTAAACCGACTTAGCAAAGCCAACTCTCACAGTTGGTATGTTGGATATGGGCCTTGCCCCTTCCAAATTAGAAGGCTTACAAAACAAGATGTGCCAATTAATGAAGCCTCTCACCCAAAAACAGGCCCAGCACCTTCGCAGGGGTAAAACCGTCATTCGCCAAGGAGACACAAAGAGCTTCTAGGTTTCTGTGCAACTATAAATACATTAAACCACTGTTTGGAACGGGGATCGGTCCAGAGGTTATTATCCACCAGACTGAGAATCGTGCCGCGCCCGAACTCGCCCTAACCCGAGATTCCCGCCGCGACTCTCTTTCTCGTGATTTTGCACTTCTGTTTCGTATTAGTTTCTCAGCTCGGCAGATAGTCTATAACTGCCGCAGCGAGACTTCTCTCTTTGTAACTTCGGATTTTCCGCAAAAGCTAATAAAGAAAATTGTTTCGTATCGTCCCAAAAATCTCGTATCATTATTGTAGCTGCTCCCCCCTTGCACAAACAATTGGCGCCCACCGTGGGGCATACGAAACACTTCTTTCTTGGCAACCTTGAAGATTCCGAAGTCTCCCGGAGAATCCAAAGCAACATGTCCGACGTAAGCTCATCCAGCGACAGGGGAACGAACACCTCCCGACGCCCAGATCCCGACGCGCCCGTTCTGTCTCCGGAGCGGCACCTGTGGGGACGCAGAAGAGCCCGAACGAATCTGCTACCACACCTCCCTGGAGCAACGACAGCAGGCGCCGCGCCCACGAATGTCGATCCAGAACGTGCCGAGCCGGAAACTGCTGAAACGGAGAACGCTGAGCCGGGCCAAAGACTGCCGCACCACCGTGCCGAGCCGGAGACTGTCGAGGTGGAAGCTGCCAATCCAAGACAGAGACCCCCGGCCCGCCAAACCGATCATGCGCATGCTGCCACGGGAAACACCAGGCCAGTACGCATCGCTCCGGCCACCGCGGCTACTGCCCATGGTGGAACTCACCTTGACGGCCTGATGCAAACCATCCTCGACCGTCTCGACGACCAGGACGTACGAACCTCCGAGAGGATCAACGCACTTGGAGAGGCGAACGCAGACACCCGAACTAGGATTGACCGGCTCAGGCGCCATCGACACAGCTCGCGACTTCACCATTCCCGGCTGGAAGAAACATCGCCCCCGCCTACTCCGTTAGACGAACGCACCAGGGACCAAAGACGCCAGCCGGCGTCGATTATTGTGGGATCCATCGATGAGCTCCAACACGAGAACCGGCCTGGCAGTCGAAACAGAACGAACGACCATCTCCACCGCCGCGACCAACATCCGACAAACGTACGACACCTAGTCAGCCGACCCGCGAGCGAGGAGAGCCAGGCCCGAAACCAAGAGCTGGCGCAACTGCAGGCACAGATCAAGGACTTGTCTTCCAAAATGCGGCAAGCCAGCACGGCACCCGATCTAGAGAAGGTGCTCGAAGAAATGCAGCGGTCACCTTTTACGTCCAAAATTACGGACATTCACGTACATCATGTCACTAAGATGAAGATCGTTCCTTACAACGGTTTCACCGATCCGAAGGAGTTCGTAAGATCCATCCAATTGGCCATTGACCGCGCATACTTCACACCTGAACAGAGCGACACCGGGAGTTGCCAATTGCTCGTCGAGCACCTCACCGGAGAAGCTCTGAATTGGTTTTCCCGTCTCGATTGCAACTCAATCGATAGTTATTACGACCTCAAGAAAGTATTCCTGCAGCACCACATGGTCTTCATGAAGCAAGGCGCAACAAACGCCGACCTCTGGACCATGTCTCAGAAAGAAAACGAGCCCCTCCGAGATTTTATGGAAAAATTCAAAAAAGTTGTCAGCACAATCGCAATAGCAGACGACGCGGCCATCGCGGCTCTCCGAAACGCATTGCTTTTCGGCTCAAAGTTTCGCGAAGACCTCATAATCTTGCAGCCCGCCACACTCGACGACGCCATACGAAAAGCAAGTCGATACATCGAAGTCGAAGAAGAAAAGGCGGCACGAGCGGAGCGACTCCCAAAGCCATCTAACCTAAAGTCTAAAGTATCGGAGACCAAAGCACCAGAAGAATATGCTGAACCGCGCCAACACTACGATCGAGAGTACGCCCGAAACGATAAAACGCGTAAGCCTACCACTTTTGCCGTCAACGGCCAAGAGCAAAAACTAAACGGCAACAAGCCGTGGAACAAGTGGTACCGCGACTCCGGCATAACCTCAAAACGAGGATACTGCGAGTTTCATAAGTTCGCTGGACACACTACGGAGGAGTGCCGACAACTTCAAGCGCTACTCCTCGAAAAGTTCAAAAACGGAGATTTCGATATCGAAAGGGAGCGGCGCCAAGCACTCTCGCACAGGGACAACTCCTATGTTGGATACGATTCACAACAGCACCAGCGCGACGGCAAACAGATTGAGGAGGAGCCCCGCGCTCTCCGAGAAGAAGCCCGACCGCCGCCTCCCCCTAAGCGAAAGCAAGATCTTCCCCCAATCGACGACGCGTACGCAGGCCGACAGCGCGTAGATATGATAATGGGTGGTCTAACGACGTGCAACGATTCGGTTCGCTCAATACGGGCATACCACCGACAAGGTGAAAACAGCCGCAGCTGGCTCACGAGGAGCAGCCCGGACGTCGAAAACTACGAGCCAATCACCTTTACTGAAGCGGACGCCCTGCAAACAGGACCTAACAACGACCCGCTGGTCGTCGAATTGGCAATCGGGGAAAGCGTGGTTACAAAGATCCTAATCGACACGGGAAGCTCTGTTAACGTAATCTTCAAAGACGTATTGATTCGGATGGGAGTCGATCTGCGCCTTGCCGAGCATAACACGCAGCCTCTTACTGGCTTTGACGGAGACACAGTCATGACGGCAGGCACGATAATGCTCCCTATCTACGTCGGGGGAACGATGCAATGCTTTAACTTTGCTATTGTTGACAAACCAATCGTATACAACGTCATCTTAGGCACACCGTGGCTGCATAGAATGAAAGCTATCCCTTCGACGTATCATCAATGCGTGAAGTTCCCTACTCAACGAGGAATCTATACATTGCGAGGCGATCCATTGGTTGCGCGCACATGTTTTATCGTCGAGAGACAGCTGCGCAACGCTCGCGCCAATGCCCAAAGAATGTTTGTCATCTCTGAATCAACCCCGAAGGTGGATACACGACAAGCACCACACACGGAGTTAATCGACCAAGTCAACATCGACACAACTGATCCTGCACGTTGCGTAGGAGTAGGTGCTGACCTTCCACTCCCATTGAAAGAAGAACTCGTGAAGTTCCTACAACATAACTCTGCCACCTTCGCATGGACGATCGCCGACATGCCCGGCATCAACCCCGAAGTTACGTGCCACGAACTGAACGTCGATCCAACCTTCAAGCCTATCAAACAAAAACGAAGGAACTTAGGTCACGATCGCGCCGCCGCAGTAAACGAAGAAGTCCGAAAACTACTCGACGCCGATTCTATAATGGAAGTACGATATCCAGAGTGGTTAAGCAACCCCGTGGTTGTTAAGAAGAAAAACGGCAAGTGGAGAGTTTGTGTGGATTTCACCGATCTCAACAAAGCCTGTCCGAAAGATAGCTTTCCTCTCCCGCGCATTGACCAGCTCGTCGAAGCAACTGCCGGGAACGAACTCCTCTCGTTTATGGACGCTTTCTCTGGTTATAACCAAATTCTGATGCACAAGAACGATCGCGAGAAAACCGCATTTATCACCGAACAAGGAACATATTGTTATAAGGTAATGCCATTTGGTTTGAAGAACGCCGGAGCCACATATCAACGCTTGGTGAATCGAATGTTTGCAAGTCAACTCGGCAAAACGATAGAGGTGTATATCGACGACATGCTCGTCAAATCCACCAAATCCTCCGAACACGTGTCGCACTTGCAGCAATGTTTCGAAGTCCTGAACAAGTATAGCATGAAGCTGAATCCTGCTAAGTGCACTTTCGGAGTGAAGTCGGGAGAGTTCCTGGGATACCTCGTCACCCAAAGAGGTATCGAAGCAAATCCCAAGCAGATTTCTGCGATCATCAGCCTCCCCTCCCCAAGAAACACTCGTGAAGTGCAACGCCTTACTGGACGCATTGCGGCATTAAATCGATTCATATCGCGTTCGACTGACAAGTGCCTCCCGTTTTACCAACTGCTACGTAGCAATAAACGATTCGAGTGGGACGACAAATGCGAGGAAGCTT